CGAGAGAGAGATGGGCAGACTTTTCATGATGCGCATGCAGTGTGACGTCACGCCACGCGCTTATTCACAAACACTACAAGCGCAACGTGTGAATGTGTTGAACGCGAGCTACATGGTAGGCGGAGTGAGGGGTGTAAGGTTTTTTTCGTTACGGAATTTCATGATTACAGTAAGCCGCGCTCGAGGCCCGCGATAAAAGGTATGCAATAGCTTAAAAATCCGAACAATATTATGTTTGTTCGTAACTCACTATGGGTTTGTGTATCTTTTGTACGGTCACTAAATTCTTAATGCTGATGATATTAGGTTTACATTCGGAGCGTCGGTCTAGCGAACAGTTTCATTAGCTCAGTAAAGATCCTTCCTTGGTCGATACTTCCAAAGTCCCACCCCCCAAATGGAAACGCCTGACTGCTTCGCGACATAAATACGTTTGATAGTGGCAGTCCTCCGATTAGTTTGCGTAATGAGACATTGGATTTGAACAGGAAAATGTACTCTCTTGTATAAAAAAATGTTTTTTTTTTGCTTACCTTTGCTAGTAATCTGGAGGGGTTATCCTAATTTCACCGGGCGTGTAGCTCGCGCTGCTTATTCTAGCGTAGTCTTGGTACTAATAGCATTAGCAAGGGCAGTTCTTCGCTGAACTTATCATCGGATCGGAATCGCGACCCACTGAGAAGATCCCGCGAGAAACTCAGTGGCCTATAAAAAAGTGGTGCAGGATAAAGGTTCGTTGAAATGTGGACTAAAAAGCATTTTCAACTTAGGCTTACTTACGTCTGGTACTTGCGGCCAACAAGCCTACGCCGCGGTTCGAACTTAATCCCAACTTTCGTACGAGTACTGGGCTGAGGGCGGCGCGGGACCTTATTTAAGTTCGCCGAAGCAGAAAGACAAACTTAAACAGGCCTAAACCTCGGCTTTTATTCGAAGTAAAGCTAACCTTTCGATGCAAGAGATCGAGTTTTTTGGTATAGTTTTTTTGGTCTTCGAAGGCAAACGATCATATTGGCCGCGACGATGCTGAGAGGTCTACCGCTCATGTGAAGTGTCTAATTAGCCCACCGAGTTTCTCGCCGGATCTTCTCAGTCGCGTTTCCGATCCTGTGGTAGATTTTGCGAAGCACAGCTCTTGCTAGGGCCAGTGTTAGCAACAACCCGGTTTAGCCCCGTGAGCACACCTACACGTCAAGGCGAAGCTGAAATAGCCTCTCAAGGCTATCAGAATAGGTAGGAGAAAAAACAAGCAGGGAATGCCTGATACGTGGCATCAATTATCTATACGCAGCGGTTCCAGTAGTGGGCACGAACTCTCCACCAACGGAGGGTGGTGGGGAAATAAAGGGGAGGGAAGAGGGAGACGACTGATCATCTTTGTATAACACACATTCGTACGTAAGCGTTGCGTGATATTTGCGTTCCGAATCCCGTCTTAAATTCGTTAAGGCCTTGGTCTATTTGTTCAAAGGTGCCTCATCCATAATTTATCAGGGGGCAGCGAGGGGTTGATCCTCGAATATTTCTGAAGGTCGAGACGGGTATTCGACGTGACTTTTAACAGGCTGATTCTGTTAAAGACAAGGGCTGTCTTTTTGCTACGTAGATCAGTGAACGAGATCACGGCACACTTGACGTTGGTTGGTCATCTTTAGGTCTATGCGTTAACTGTAGAGTAATTAAAATATCGTTACGCGCTGGGGTTCGGGATAAATAACAATTTTACCGAAGTGCAAATTAAGGCTGTAATTAACACTTAGAACACTCACAGTCATTATAGAAGTGAATTTTCGGTTTTTTTTCTCTCCTAAATGCACCGATTATCATGATTTTTACATAAAACCCGGTGCTTCACGTGTGGTCCCATTTAAATTTCATCAGGATCCGACCAGTAGTTTTTGAGTTACACTTAATGGTGCATATTACATCGACCTTATTTTATTTTATTGCATAGGTGGGCGGACGAGCTCACGGCACACCTGATGTTAAGTGGCTACCGGAGCTCATAGACATCTACGACGTAAATGCCGCCACCTACAAAACTTTCGACTATGTTGATGATGTTCTCGTGTTGTTTTTTGTTTTAGTGAGTTTTCTTTTTTTTTGTTTAAATTCTGTACATATTTGTCGTTTATGCTCGTATATCAACTGGCCGTCGAGTCGATGTCTGGTTTGTCCGTCGAGAGCGGCATTGTGCGGTTTCCACGTCGCCGCCACGTGAGTGTACGTCAGTATCTCATTGCCCTTGTAGGCAGACGAGCGTATGTCACCTGAAGGTGAGTGGTTACCGTCGCCCATGGACTTCAGCAATGCCAGGGGCAGAGCCAAGCCGTTGTCTACCGCTTAATCCTCTCCGCAAGCCTCGTTTGAAGAAGAACATGTCATAGCGCTCGGGAAACACCGTGGAGGGGGAGATGATGGTATCATCTCGAATAATTCCTCAGAGCACTCCCCTGTCATTATAAGATCGAAAATAGCATCAATATAACCACAAGTCAACTAAGGATAAAACAACAACTACTGGTCATACCCTGATACACTGAGAAATGTACAGTCGAATTGAGAAGCTCCTCGTTTATTTTTGGAAGTCGGTTGATAGATGACGTCACCGCGTCCAGCCCATAAACCGAAGCGCGATTCAGACGTTCGTCAGACAGAGAGCCACGGCAATCGATACCGGAACGACCTTCATAGACGCTCGTCGTAACCTACAGTGTGCTTAGTGCTTAGTTTTTAACATTCTCGATAGCGTAAAAGTTAACTCAAATTTGTATGGAGTCAGAACGGCTGCCTACGTTTGCCTCTAGATTTAACCTTAGGCGTAACCTTAACTAGTAGGTGAGCTCACGGGGCTCAAACCTGACGACGTTGCTAACACGAACCCTAGCAAGAGCCGTGCTTCGCAGAATCCACCGCCGGATCGGAAACGCGAACCACGGAGAAGATCCGGAGAGAAACTCAGTGGGTTGTGTCTGTGGGTTAATTTGCACCTAGAGCCCTTCGTTGTAAGCGACGGGTTCGACGAGAACGATGACCGATGCTTGAGGTACCTAAAAGCACCGTTAGTGGATCGGGAGGATCCGAAATGACGTGTTTTGGACGACGTCGACTGCTTTCCATTTTGTCCACAGGATCAGGAATGTAACCGCTAGGGGTGTTGTTCCAACTGCAAACGAATTTGAATTAGCTTTTACGCGATGGAGAACGTTAAAAAGCTCGCACTAAGCACACTGGACTCCACTCAACACCTACAAGGTGGTGACTTAATAATGAAAAAGGATGCCCCATGATTATATAACTTCCGGTAATAGAGAACTTAAGAAGGAAACGCTTCATAATCTTTTTGAATGCTTTTCGCGTGCAACTTTCGACTTTAACGCAATGGATCAGAACAGTAATTCGCATTCGGTGACGTTCGTTTAAAGCGTACGGGCCCTTCGGTTCGGTCGATTACGTGTTTTTAACCGACTTCAGTGAAGGTGGTTATATATTTAACTATATTTGATTGAGCATTGAATATCTGCTTTGTTAGCAACGATTTTGTCGGTATAAAGGGCCTTGTTTGGTTTCTAGAGTATTTGGTGTAGCAGGTTTTTTTCTCTACCTATTCGCTGGTAACCTAAGGGTCTATTCTAACTACGCTGCTAGGTGAGCTCAAACACTACCTGAGATAATTTGATAACACTAACCCCAGCAAGGGCAGTGCTTCGCAGAATCTACCACCATATCGGTATCGCGACTCACTGAGAAGATCCGGCGAGAAACTCAGTAGGCTTAATAGCAGTGTGCTACATTCCCTCTCCTATCGATTTCTCAATTGTTCAGTGATTAAGGACATCCTTGAAACCGCCTTCCGCCACGAAAAACACAGGGTCGCGATAGTGACAATAGAAATTAATAGTGTTCTGGCCGGCCACATTACAATTTACATGCCACGTAAATCGGTGCCAACCCTGGGATTTGTGATGGTGTGGATTCTTTGTAAGGGGTAACTATCGAATTTACATAAGCCTGATTAGTGCTAAGGACTTTTTCAAAGAGTCCTTGCATGCCCATATCGAGGGGAAAAAGGCTTATTCAGTTTAAGCGGCATTTTTGCAACTTCAGCACATGAGTGCCATTTAAAGTTTAGAATTTGGAAAAAAACATCATATAAAAATATAAAACTTGTTCAGCTATTGTTTAATTAAAAACTGTTGGTGCTAATAACAAATAAAAAGCACATTTAATTACAAAGACTAACGTCGCGTGTTAAGCGAAACTTTGCGTAAATCAAATAGCCTTTTGGCCTTTCGATATTATCACTCAAGTACCGAACAAAAAAAAAAATTAAGCCGTTGCTCTTCCGGGCAAAGTGATGAGCTTGGTAAAGATCCCACAGTCGTTTATTATACCCGATAATGTTGTTCCATTTCATCGTACTAGTACGCCAAGTGTCTTCATCTATTTCCCTGCTATCGGTGACTATGGGCATTCGTCACAAAACGCTGCCTTTTTTCCTACCCATGCTGATAGCCGAGAGGCTATTTCAGCTTCACCCTAACGTGTAGGTGAGCTCACGGGGCTCAAACCGGAAGTGTTTCGTACACTGGCCCTAGCAAGAGCAGTGCTTCGCAGAATCTACCACAGGATCGGAAACGCGATCCATTGAGAAGATCCGGCGACGTCGCCTGTATATCATAGGTGACTATAGTCAGTGGCTGAAAAGCACCGTTTATACACGATGGATGATGTGCGCAATCTCAGCACGTTGATATGTTTACATCGAGTCATGATATAGCGCAAGTATAAGTTCACGGAATCTTCGTATCTGATGTCTGATAACAGCATTCTCACGGCAATTTCATCAAGATAACAGTTTGATACGAATTGCTTTAAATTTTGCGGCCACATTACAGACACGCTATTATTCAACTGGTCCTTATAAGTGACGCATTAATATTAGTGTGTAGTAAATAATTTGAATCCAAATTGATATGATTTTTCTTTTTGTTTTCCAGTTCCCCTGCGGCGGCTCCGTGAAGAAATCCACGAATCGCTGAATATGACATCACCATCATGACCAGAATTCCCAAATTGTGATAATACTTCAGGCCTAAGGGTTCCTTTCTCAAACGTTCCTTTAGACATAAAAATATATATTACCAAAGCCTTTTTATTTTAATTAGTAAAATTAGCTGATCGACCCCTAACCAAAGTTAAACATAAGAATGGCCAATCAAATGCCAATTTACAGTCAGGTTGTGCCAAAAAGCCAGTACAAGCCGAAGAGCTCGAAGGCACGTCAGAACCTCACGAAACCGGACTTCGATCCTTTGAATTGTAACAACGGCGGTAATTTTGCGAACGCCGACGGGAAAATCGATAAGGAAAAGAAAGAGAAGAGGGAAGCCAGGAGGGAAGGGAAGAGAGTTAAGAATGAGGGCAGCGAAGGAAAGGTGGAAGCTTACTTGAGGCAGTACCAGGTCAGCATGAGGCAGCAGCAGCACCGCCATTCGTCCGTCAGGCAGGCCGAACATCGTGTTAATCTCAGGTGAGTTTGTCAACTGCTTGAAATAAGCTATGTTGTACTGGTTTGATGGATTGTATCAGGAACCATAGCTGATAAAATGGTACTGGAACCCATCGGAATTGAGAGACCAGGGCGAAGGCTCAAATTTATCGTAGAAAATCGTCCATGCTTCAAACCGGTTTTGCAGCAGAAATAGCTTGAAGCGCATCATTCATTGTAGCCGCATTATGATTGTGTAATACTCTGTAAAGAATTATGGGGTGAATATACTCCTTTAATGACAACTACAAGAAGAAAAAAGGCGCTGCCGATTCCAAGTCGATACCATAGAGCCATTCATCTTTACTTTTAGGCAAACGCTCATTTTAGAAGTCGTCGTGGCCTAAAGAATAAGACCTCCGGTGCATTCGTATCTAGTGTTCGAATCCCGCAGGCGCGTACCAATTTTTCTAATGAAATACGTACTTAACAAATGTTCACGATTTACTTCCACGGTGAAGGAATAACATAGTGTAATAAAAATCAAACCCGCAAAATTATAATTTGCGTAATTACTGGTGGTAGGGCCTCTTGTGAGTTCGCACGTGTAGGTACCACCGCCCTGCCTATTTCTGCCGTGAAGCAGTAATGCATTTCGGTTTGAAGGGTGGGGCAGCCGTTGTAACTATACTGAGACCTTAGAACTTATATATCAAGATGGGTGGCGCATTTAGGTTGTAGATGTCTATTGGCTCCAGTAACCACTTAACACCACGTGGGCTGTAAGCTCGTCCACCCATGTAAGCAATAAAAAATAAAAATCTTTAATTTTCTTCTTATTGCCAACATACTCCTACCACATCATCTACGTGTTACTACTACTGACGCTTCCATTTATTTGTTATCTTATTCATTAACTTAATTCTTTAAATATGACTTTGAAATTTGGAAGTAAAAATATTATGATTCATAGACCTTTCTGATTGTTTTTTTTTTTTTGAATGTTTTGATTCTTAAGTCCGCTTGAACCGTATTTGGTGAGTTATAAGCTATTTTAACAACTATTTAATGTTTCAGGTCTCTTCCTTTAAATGAAGGTGTCACGTCCGTTCGCGGCCACGAACGCACGCCGACTGAACGCCACCGAGGCTTCCCATGCGACAGAGAAGGCGGCAGGGAACATCGTCGTGAGAGAGACAAAGACAGGGATAGAGATAATTTTGATGTGGACGGTAAGTCGCTTACGCCGTTTATTTATTATTTAAACTTACCTACAAAATGCAACTGTAGAACAATTTGCAATAGTGAGGGCTTTAACAGGAACTAATACAACAATAAATAATAGTTTAAAAAAGCTAAAAAAATACGCTTTCATAGAAAATCCAACTAAAAAATAGAAAATAAATTTTAATAAATTTGAATTAAAAATAGTGTAAATAAACTATTATTTATTTTGAATTTTTTAGTCGAATTTCAATTTGTTAATTTTTTTTTTAAATATTGAATTCTTATCGGTCCTTAATATCAAATTTCGAGTTAATCCGACGTTTTGAAGGGGATCAAAATCATGTTCAAAGATTCCGTTACAAACATACATACGTTTAAAGCTAATAAAAGCTTATTAAAAATATAGTTCATCATCAAAGCCTTTTTGATGCCAATCATCAGCCCTGATAGGAGTCCCTGATTGGAATGATGGTCGAGTATTTTGATTTGCGTGTTTATTTATGCGGCTAAACATCCTACAGGAGCACAGCTGAGTCCGTCGGCTCCTCGCGACAAGGACCCTCGTCCGATGCGTAAGTCTTCGTCATCGAATCGCGTGCCCGAAGCCGCGACCTCGACCGACAAACGACGGTTCTTCTGCAGGGAGTGGGCGTTCCAGAAGATCGCTCACTGCCTCGAACAGCGACCGGTCAGCAAGACTTGCGGCGTGCTGGTTCTCGGTAAGCTTTCAGAGGCCTATCTCGACTGGACTATAGGTGGGACATCGCAGAAACTGTAAACTGTTGATCGCATTTCTGGTGGTAGGATGTCTTGTTAGTCCGCACGCATAGATACCACCGCTCTGCCTATTTATTCCATGAAGCAGTACTGCGTTTCGGTTTGGAGGTTGAGGCAGTTTTTATTCTGTACTTTTGAAGATTTTCTCTACTCTAAGACCTTAGAACTCATGTCTCAAGGTGGTGGCGTCATTTACATTGTAGATGTCTATGGGCTACAGTAACCACTCAGCACCAAGTGGGCCCTGAGCTCGTGAATGCATATAAGCAATAAAAAAGTTCGTAGATAGTGGCCGTTGTTGCTCACGGACAATCAGGAATTCCAGGAGCAAATGTAAGCAAGTGTCTGCCGCTGAGGACTAATGAAAAATTGTTTCAAGAAGGACAGGTTCAAACTTGGACGGTGAGTTGTGTCCACACTTGGTAGAAAGGCGCTACGTTGAGTTCAGCCTTTGAGTGATCATGAAACTGAGGGAAAACGGGTTTATTAAAGTTTCATAGTTACATTATCAGATATATAAAAGTGTTTTTACGGCGCAGGTTCTATCGGTATAACGTGAGAATGCCTTGCGATTTTGAGCCAATAAGGATGGGCCAAAATCCAATAGAATGGCCGTGTGGTAAACTCCAGGGTATTCGTAGTTTTGATATGACACTGCAAGGATGTCGTTGGTGATGATAACTGTGCTATAAGTGATGCGGACAATTTCTCGAACAGGTAATGCGGGCAGCGGAAAGACTGCACTTTGTCAAGAGCTTAGCGAGCCGGGTCAAGGTCCTCAAGCGAGGCAACAGAGGGCATTGAACCGGAGATTGCTGGCCAGGCATTTCTTGCAGGTCAGTTCACGAATACCGCAATTTTTTTATGGGTGTTTAGCATTTGTCAGCTGGTGCATCCCTTCCACCATCGAGCTCATTAATTCCGTGAATCGGCTGTGGTCGAATGACGGAGCAGTAGCTCAAGAAAGAGTATTTATCAAACTAGTGGTGGGTTTAGTAGTGCCCGCTGTTGTCATAAAATAATTAGAGAAGGATGCAGCTTATGACGTCATAGTCGTCGAGGAAGTGACAGTGTGATATCAAATCAAACTGTAATTAGTTCTAATGTGTTAAATGTATTAAAAGGCCTGTTTGAAAAAATTGAATGAAAGAATTTGAGGTATGTCCTTGTGAGCAGATTGCGATACCCGAAATAGATTGTAACGCCAGAGGCGTAGGTTCGCGATTTGAGTAAATGTTTTTTTCGGTGTCAGAGCAACACGGAGAGCAGCCTTCGTCCTGGTGAGTTCGTTCGGTCGCTGGCGATGCAGATCCTCAGCCATTCGTCGCGGCGCGCGCTGCCCGGCGCCGGTGGGGACTCGCCCGACGACAGGTACCTTGCAGCAAGAAGATAGCTTAAAAGAAAATCAGGAATGTTGTTCATTCAGCCCGCCGTAGGAGATCAGGGGGTTTTAATCACAACAACCCATCGAATTACTCATAATATGGTGGTAGGACCTCTTGTGAGTCCGCGCGGGTAGGTACCACCACCCCGCCTATTTCTACCGTGAAGCAGTAATCGGTTTGAAGGGTGGGGCAGCCGTTGTAACTAGAATACTTAAAACCTTAGAACTTATATCTCAAGGTGAGTGGCGCATTTACGTTGTAGATGTGTATGGACTCCAGTAACCACTTAACATCAGGTGAGCTGTGAGCTCGTCCACCCATCCAAGCAATAAAAAAAACCTTTTCATCCGCAGTTGTAGTATTTTATGTATTATTTTAAAGGATGCGTCTTAATTTTTAAATTCTTAAACCTGAGACCGCAACCAGTAAGAAGATTTCAGGAATAATTATTCTAATGACCCCCCTACAAATAACGGGATAATCAATAAGATTGCAAATCGAGTTCACAGTTGCAATGTATTCAAGTAGTTATTACTCAAATCCACCCATTTTACTGGTAAACTAATTGGTGTCTGGTCTAGAATAGTACCACTCTGTTTCTCCGCGTGGGAGCCATAAGGCGACCAAGGGATTTATTGGAGGATCAGCAGCGGCCTTTTCGGCAGACTAATGCTATGCGCCAACCAGCGTTTGCTGGCGTATCATCATTCTGCACGAGCAGGGCCGGATTTAGAGGTCTGGAGGCCTTGGGGCAACAGAGGAGCGTAGGCCCCCTGGCCCCAGATTATTTCCCAAATAAAATGAACAATTTTTTTAGAGATTCTCGTCGTCGTCGTCTCCTTTCGTCGATTCACGTAGATTCTCTTAATATTTAACCATCAAACATAAATATAATCGAAGGAAAAGATGTTTACTAATGTGTACTTGTCGAAATTAGAATATTTTTTTCCAAAGTCTATTGCGGGGGCCCTCCAATGGGGCTTTCGCCTCGGTTGCCCTCCCCTAAATCCGGCCCTGCATTCGAGTGGTCCCACACCGACCTGCCCATTTCTGCCGCGAAGTAATCTTGCATTAGACGTTCTGGTTTGTTCGGTAATACTACCCACGTTTGTGCAATAAATAAATAAAAATAAATCAATAGAATTACTATTTTGTTTAACAGGAACAATTCAGAAGAAGAACGTCTTATCAGTCGTTTCCGGGAGCTGGGCGACGAGAACGAAGAAAGCTCTAAGCCTCTTCTAGCCGATAGCGAAGGTGATGTTTTTAGTAGCTCTAAGAAAGTTTAATTTCAGCATACATTGTGTACAGTCTCTGAAGTTTTATTTATTTTCTATTTAAAACATCATTCTTCCAGATAAGTCTATGTTTAGTGGATCAGAGATGTAAGGCGAATTTTATTCGAGGTCGATGACCCTGTCCCTCTGAATTTGTTTTCGATTGCGTGCTTAAAAAAAGTGGGGTGCTTATATCGAAATTATGAAATATCCTGCACGTTTAAGGAATAGTTACGACAATCCGGTCTTATATGGTGTCCTGGGCAAGCCGGGAGTGGTCTATATTGATCCGCCTACACTGTATTTTAACGCAAAGCTGTCACGTAATAGTCATTGTAATGAAAACCTAAAACACAAAATGGTTAGGCAAGCTAAACTACTAGTGAAAAAATGGTTGCTTACATTGAACTATATGGTCACAGAGAACTTAATTAAAAGCAAGAAATAGCAGTAGATTTATTAATTTTGTATCTTTTTGTTTATTTTTTCTTATTAATTTATTTTATAATTGTTTATTACTACGCTCCCCATATATGTGTAATTGTTTGATGTGTTATTTTTATTACTCAAATTTTTTTATTATCTTATATGTTAAATCTAAAGTAGGGCTGCGTATTAATTTCTCAAAAACAAAAGAAATGCGCATAAATACCACTGATTCGGCTCCTATGTCGATCAAAGGGAGGCACATCGAGCAGGTGGGAAGCTTCTGTTACCTGGGGAGCATTGTGGACGATAGGGGAGGCACCGAGGCAGACATTGCGGCTCGTATAAATAAAGCCAGAGCCGCGTTTAGTCAACTTAAGCCAGTGTGGAGTTCCTCAACCTTAACAAGACGAACAAAGGTGAGGATCTTCAACTCAAATGTAAAGTCTGTATTGCTGTACGGGAGCGAAACTTGGTTTGTTCGCAAGGACTTGATCAAAAAACTTCAAGTGTTTGTGAATAAGTGCCTGCGTCAGATTTTGAAAATCTTTTGGCCTGAGAAGATCACTAACAAAGAGNCACCGGTTGGCGGGACAGCTTCCCGGGGCGGAGTTTAGTAGAGACACCCGGGTTCAGGTCCCCTACTGACCGGCGGGCGGCAGCGGGTACCGTTTCACTGGGTCTCCCTATACCCCCGTCAAACAATCACGCCCCGTGAGTTCGCACGCACGTCTGCTCCGCAAGTTCCAGGCGTCACCAAGACTCAACCCCAACAAGGAAGGGGAAAGTATCGAAAGGGGATCGTAAAAATGAGATGATGGTATCATGTCGAATAATTGCTCAGAGCACTCCCCTGTCTTCAATATTATAGATCGAAAATAGTATCAATTCAGACTGGTGGTAGGACCTCTTGTGAGTCCGCACGGGTAGGTACCACCACCCTGCCTATTTCTGCCGTGAAGCAGTAATACGTTTCGGTTTGAAGGGTGGGGCAGCCGTTGTAACTTTACTGAGACCTTAGAACTTATATCTCAAGGTGGGTGGCGCATTTACGTTGTAGATGTCTATGGGCTCCAGTAACTACTTAACACTAGGTGGGCTGTGAGCTCGTCCAGCCATATAAACTATAAAAAAAAAAAAAAAGTATAACCACAAGTCAACTAAGGATAAATCAAAGCTATATTATGAAGCTCCTCGTTTATTTTTGGAAGTCGGTTGATAGATGACGTCACCGTGTCCAACCCATAAACCGAAGCGCGATTCAGACAGAGCCACGGCAATCGATACCGGAACGACCTTCATAGACGCTCGTCGTAACCTACAGTGTGCTCAGTGCTTAGTTTTTAACGTTCTCGATAGCGTAAAAGTTAACTCAAATTTGTATGGAGTCAGAACGGTTGCCTACGTTTGCCGCTAGGGGCGCTGTTCCAATTGCATACGAATTTGAGTTAACTTTTACGCGATGGAGAACGTTAAAAAGCTCGCACTAAGCACACTGGACTCCACTCAACACCTACAAGGTGGTGACTTAATAATAATAAAAGATGCCCCATGATTATATAACTTCCGGTAATTGAGTACTTAAGAAGGAAGCACTTCATAATCTTTTTGAGTACTTATCGCGTGCAACTTTGGACTTTAACGCAATGGATCAGAACAGTAATTCGCATTCGGTGACGTTTGTTTAAAGCGTACGGGCCCTTCGGTTCGGTCGATTACGTGTTTTTAACCGACTTCAGTGAAGGTGGTTATCTATTTAACTATATTTGATTGAGCATTGAATATCTGATTTGTTAGCAACGATTTTGTCTGTATAAAGGGCCTTGTTTGGTTTCTAGAGTCCTTGGTGTAGCAGGTTTTTTTCTCTACCTATTCGCTGGTAACCTAAGGGTCTATTCTAACTACGCTGCTAGGTGAGCTCAAACACTTCCTGAGATAATTTGATAACACTAACCCCAGCAAGAGCAGTGCTTCGCAGAATCTACCACCGTATCGGTATCGCGACTCACTGAGAAGATCTGGCGAGAAACTCAGTAGGCTTAATAGCAGTGTGCTACATTCCCTCTCCTATCGATTTCTCAATTGTTCAGTGATTAAGGACATCCTTGAAACCGCCTTCCGCCATGAAAAACACAGGGTCGCGATAGTGACAATAGAAATTAATAAAGTGTTCTGGCCGGCCACATTACAATTTACATGCCACGTAAATCGCTGCCAACCGTGGGATTTGTGATGGTGTGGATTCTTTGTAAGGGGTAACTATCAAATTTACATAAGCCTGATTAGTGCTAAGGACTTTTTCAAAGAGTCCTTGCATGCCCATATCGAGGGGAAAAAGGCTTATTCAGTTTAAGCGGCATTTTTGCAACTTTTACGAGCACATGAGTGCCATTTAAAGTTTAGAATTTGGAAAAAAACATCATAAAAAAAAACTTGTTCAGCTATTGTTTAATTAAAAACTGTTGATGCTAATAACAAATAAAAAGCACGTTTAATTACAAAGACTAATGTCGCGTGTTAAGCGAAACTGCGTAAATCAAATAGCCTTTGGCCTTTCGATATTATCACACAAGTACCGAACAAAAAAAAAAAATGAAGCCGTTGCTCTTCCGAGCAAAGTGATGAGCTTGGTAAAGATCCCGCAGTCGTTTATTATACCCGATAATGTTGTTCCATTTCATCGTACTAGTACGCCAAGTGTCTTCATCTATTTCCCTGCTATCGGTGACTGTGGGCATTCGTCACAAAACGTGGCCTTTTTTCCTACCCATGCTGATAGCCATAGCCTTGAGAGGCTATTTCAGCTTCACCCTAACCCGGCTCAAACCGGAAGTGTTGCTAACACTGGCCCTAGCAAGAGCAGTGCTTCGCAGAATCTACCACAGGATCGGAAACGCGATCCATTGAGAAGATCCGGCGACGTCGCCTGTATATCATGGGTGACTATAGTCAGTGGCTGAAAAGCACCGCTTATACACGATGGATGATGTGCGCTATTTCAGCACGTTGATATGTTTACATCGAGTCATGATATAGCGCAAGTATAAGTTCACGGAATCTTCGTATCTGATGTCTGATAACAGCATTCTCACAACAATTTCATCGAGATAACAGTTTGATACGAATTGCTTTAAACTTTTGCGGCCACATTACACACACGCTGTTATTCAACTGGTCCTTATAAGTGACGCATCAATATTAGTGTGTAGTAAATAATTTGAATCCAAATTGATATGATTTTTCTTTTTGTTTTCCAGTTCCCCTGCGGCGGCTCCGTGAAGAAATCCACGAATCGCTGAATATGACATCACCATCATGACCAGAATTCCCAAATTGTGATAATACTTCAGGCCTAAGGGTTCCTTTCTCAAACGTTCCTTTAGACATAAAAATATATATATTACCAAAGCCTTTTTTTTTTAATTAGTAAAATTAGCTGATCGACCCCTAACCAAAGTTAAACATAAGAATGGCCAATCAAATGCCAATTTACAGTCAGGTTGTGCCAAAAAGCCAGTACAAGCCGAAGAGCTCGAAGGCACGTCAGAACCTCACGAAACCGGACTTCGATCCTTTGAATTGTAACAACGGCGGTAATTTTGCGAACGCCGACGGAAAAATCGATAAGGAAAAGAAAGAGAAGAGGGAAGCTAGGAGGGAAGGGAAGAGAGTTAAGAATGAGGGCAGCGAAGGAAAGGTGGAAGCTTACTTGAGGCAGTACCAGGTCAGCATGAGGCAGCAGCAGCACCGCCATTCGTCCGTCAGGCAGGCCGAACATCGTGTTAATCTCAGGTGAGTTTGTCAACTGCTTGAAATAAGCTATGTTGTACTGGTTTGATGGATTGTATCAGGAACCATAGCTGATAAAATGGTACTGGAACCTATCGGAATTGAGAGACCAGGGCGAAGGCTCAAATTTATCGTAGAAAATCGTCCATGCTTCAAACCGGATTTGCAGCAGAAATAGCTTGAAGCAGATTATTCATTGTAGCCGATTTATGATTGTGTGAACTTTGTGAATAATTATCCGGTAAATATACTTCTTTAATAACACCTACAAGAAGAAATAAGGCGGTGCCGATTTCAAGTCAATACCACGCATCCATTCATCTGTACTTTTATACAAACGTTAAATCTCTTTCATTTTCTTCTCATTGCCAACATAATCCTACATCATTTAGGTATTACTACTACTGACGTTTCCATTTATTTGTTGTCTTGTTCATTAGCTTAACTTTTTAAATGCGACTTTGAAATTCGGCAGTAAAAATATTATGATTCATAGGACTAAAGAAAATTCTGAATGTTTTCTGAAGTGAAACTTCTTTAGGTGTGTTGAAAGTAAAATTTAACTCGCGACAGATTCGTTACGGCCAGAGAGGAAAGATACAATTTAGGACGAGCGAGAAAGAGAAAATAGACAGAGCGTCTTGCGAACCACTCGACCGCGGAGAGAGGCGGATAGCTAGCTAGGTCGCTTCTCTTATACACATTCTGTTTACGGACGTCGGCCACTAGATGGCTTGTTATCAGTTTCTTGTTGCTCCTGTAGATGATAATAACATATTGACTATCTTAAATTTAATTTTTAATGAAGGACTTAATAAATATATTTTTCTATATATAATTTAAAATATAAATATCTAAATGTTGAAGAGGTCGTTTCTTTTATACACAGCATTTCCTATTAAAAGAGAAATTTTGATTTAAGGATAAAAAACGAAGAAAACCACAACACACAAAATACACACAGCGCAAAAGAAGTTTCACTTCTTTCACGTGCACCAAGCTGCACGCGCACCAAGCTGCACGCGCACCAAGCTGCACGCGCACCAAGCTGCACGCGCACCATATTTTTTTATACTTTAACTCTAAGTCCGCCTCAAGCCTAGTTGGAAAGTTATTAGCTATTTTAGAAACCATTTAATGTTTCAGATCTCTTCCTTTAAATGAAGGCGTCACGTCCGTTCGCGGCCACGAACGCACGCCGACAGAACGCCACCGAGGTTTCCCATGCGACAGAGAAGGCGGTAGGGAACATCGTCGCGAGAGAGACAAAGACAGGGATAGAGATAATTTTGATGTGGACGGTAAGTCGCTTACGCCGTTTATTTATTTAAAGTACATCTACAGAATGCAACTGTAGAACAATTTGCAATAGTGAGGGTTTTAACCGGAACACATATAACAATAAATAATAATAGTTTAAAAAAACTAAAAATAGAAACTAAATTTTAAAAATTTTTAATTAATTAAATTAAAATTAAAAATAGTGTAAGAAAAAAATATTTTATTGTATTCGTTCATCATCACAGCCTTTTTGATGCCAATCATTAGCCCTGATAAGAATCTCTGATTGGAATGATGGTCGAGTATTTTGATTTGCGTGTTTATTTATGCGGCTAAACATCCTACAGGAGCACAGCTGAGTCCGTCGGCTCCTCGCGACAAGGACCCACGTCCGATGCGTAAGTCTTCGTCATCGAATCGCGTGCCCGAAGCCGCGACCTCGACCGACAAACGACGGTTCTTCTGCAGGGAGTGGGCGTTTCAGAAGATCGCTCACTGCCTCGAACAGCGACCGGTCAGCAAGACTTGCGGCGTGCTGGTTCTCGGTAAGCTTTCAGAGGCCCAACTCGACTGGACTATAGATGGGACATCGCAGAAACTGTAAACTGTTGATCGCATTTCTGGTGGTAGGATGTCTTGTTAGTCCGCACGCATAGATACCACCGCTCTGCCTATTTATTCCATGAAGCAGTACTTAAAGTTTCATAGTTACATTATCAGATATATAAAAGGGTTTTAACGGCGCAGGTTCTATCGGTATAACGTGAGAATGCCTTGCGATTTTGAGCCAATAAGGATGGGCCAAAATCCAATAGAATGGCCGTGTGGTAAACTTCAGGGTATTCGTAGTTTTGATACGACACTGCAAGTGATGTCGTTGGTGATGATTGGTGCTATTAGTGATGCGAACAATTTCTCGAACAGGTAATGCGGGCAGTGGAAAGACTGCACTTTGTCAAGAGCTTAGCGAGCCGGGTCAAGGTCCTCAAGCGAGGCAACAGAGGGCATTGAACCGGAGATTGCTGGCCAGGCATTTCTTGCAGGTCAGTTCACGAATACCGCAATTTTTTTATGGGTGTTTAGCATTTGTCAGCTGGTGCATCCCTTCCACCATCGAGCTCATTAATTCCATGAATCGGCTGTGTTCGAATGACGGAGCAATAGCTCAGGAATGAGTATTTATCAAACTAGTGGTGGGTTTAGTAGTGCCCGCTGTTGTCATCAAATAATTAGAGAAGGATGCACATAGCGGCTTATGACGTCATAGCCGTCGGGGAAGTGACGGTGTGATATCAAATCAAACTGTAATTAGTTCTAATGTGTTAAATGTATTAAAAGGCCTGTTTGAAAAAATAGAGTGAAAGAATTTGAGGTATGTCCTTGTGAGCAGATTGCGATACCCGAAATAGATCGTAACGCCAGAGGCGTAGGTTCGCGATTTGAGTAAATTTTTTTTCGGTGTTAGAGCAACACGGAGAGCAGCCTTCGTCCGGGTGAGTTCGTCCGGTCGCTGGCGATGCAGATCCTCAGCCACTCATCGCGGCGCGCGCTGCCCGGCGCCGGCGGGGACTCTCCCGACGACAGGTATCTTGCAACAAGAAGATAGCTTAAAAAACAACCATTAATGTTGTTCATTCAGCCGGCCGTGGGAGATCAGGGGATTTCAATCACAACAACCCATCGAATTGCTCATAATATGGTGGTAGGACCTCTTGTGAGTCTGCGCGGGTAGGTACCACTACCTCGCCTATTTCTACCATGAACCAGTAATGCGTTTCGGTTTGAAGGGTGGGGCAACCGTTGTAACTATACTTGAGACCTTAGAATTTATATCTCAACGTGGGTGGCGCATTTACGTTGTAGATGTGTATGGGCTCCAGTGACCACTTAACATCAGGTGAGCTTTGAGCTCGTCCACCCATCTAAGCAATAAAAAAAAACCTTTTCATCCGCAGTTGTAGTATTTTATGTACTCTTTTAAAGAGTGCGTCTGAATTTTTTAATTCTTAAACCTGAGACCGCAACCAATAAGAAGATTTCAGGAATAATTATTCTGATGACCCCCCCTACAAATAACGAAATAATCAATAAAATAGCAAATCGAAGTATTTATTACTTAAATCCGCCCATTTTACTGGTAAACTAATTGGTGTCTGGTGGTGGTCGAGAATAGTACCACTATATTTCTCCGCGTGGCTGCCGTAAAGGCATCCACCCAAGGGATTCACCGGAGGACCAGCAGCGGCCTTTTCGGCAGACTTATGCTATGCGCTATATCAGTCGAGCTTTCCAATAAATAATTTATTGTGAAACCATACATATAATCGGAGACAAGAATTACGTGAAATTAAATTTCGGATTAAGGATGTTTAGTAATGTTTACTTGTCGAAATTTGAAAATTATTGTTCCAAAGTCTCTATTGTGGGCTTTTGCCTCGGTTACCCTCCCATAAATCCGGCCCTGCGTACGAGTGATCCCACACCACCCTGCCTATTTCTGCCGCAAGGTAATATTACATTAGACGTTCTGATTTGTTCTGTAATACTACCCACGTTTATGCAATAAATAAATAAAACAATAGAATTACTATTTTGTTTAACAGGAACAATTCAGAAGAAGAGCGTCTTATCAGCCGTTTCCGGGAGTTGGGCGACGAGAACGAAGAAAGCTCTAAGCCTCTTCTAGCCGACAGCGAAGGTGATGTTTGTAGTAGTTCTAAGAAAGTTATAATTCCAGTATACGTTGTATAGTCTCCGAAGCTCTATTTATTTTCTATTTAAAACCTCATTCTTCTAGATAAGATCAAGATATTTACTGGGCCAGAGATGTAAGGCGAATTTTATTCGAGGTCGATGACCCTGTCCCTCTGAATTTGTTTTCGATTGCGTGCTTAAAAAAAGTGGGGTGCTTTTATCGAAATTATGAAATATCCTGCACGTTTAAGGAATAGTTACGACAATCCGGTCTTATATGGTGTCCTGGGCAAGCCGGGAGTGGTCTATGTTGATCCGCCTACACTGTGTTTTAACGCGAAGCTGTCACGTAATAGTCCAACTGTATCATTTAGTCTGACTCAGATTTTGTGGGTAGGTACCGCCATTCTGCTTGCTTCTTCTACGAAGCAGTGACACGGTTCGAGAGATAAAGGTTATACTTTTTTCTTCATCCTTCATTGTTGAGGATCATGACCACATGTGACTTTCATCCATAGTGTTCGATCATGAGTGGCATGGACCGCATGGTATAGACCACCAGTATAGACCACAAGTTAACTTTAACTATTTTTAGTTAACTAAATAGTGACTATGCGCCTATATACATATTTAATACAGTCGATATTTCGATCTCTTGGCTCAAAGCGGGCAACGAAATTAAGTTTATCGCGTTTAAGGGTTCCGGTAGACGTTTAATACTAATGAAACATTTAGCTCAGCTTTTTATGCTCTTGTATTTGTTACTGCCATCTGCAGGAGCAATGAGAAACTAATCGAAGCGAAGCCATCTAGTGGTCGACGCCCGTAAACATTTTCGTTGAGTGCTTGAGTTGCTTATCTTATTATCTTATCTTATCTTAACTAATTTAAGTATTTTATCGGCCGACTGTTTTGTACGGCAATAGTCACTCGTATTTATAGTAGTAACTGCGGGTAGTTTAGTCATGAATTATCTTGAATACCGTCTTAAACAGTTGTTGACATATGTAACATTAAGGAAACAGTTAACCTTAACTATTTTTAGTGAACTAAATAGTGACGTTCAGCTGACATATATAATTAGGAGTATTGTGTTCTTTTTTTTTTATAATAAATTAATTAATTATTTAAAAGAGAATAGTGTGGTAAAATCGAAACAACTACTGAAGCGGTACGCAAAGTGAGGTCATAGAAATTTTTTATGTATGATACAGTCGAAATTTCGATCTCTTGGCTCAAAGCGGGCAACGAAAATAACTTTATCGCGTTTAAGGTTTCCGGTAAACATTTAACAAGAATAAAACCGTGAGCTTATTTGTTTATACGAAATGCTCTTGTATTCCTCAGATCAACGTACGGACGAGGAAGAAACTGGTAGCGCCAGACGAACTCGAACCATTGACCGGATACACGAGAGGGAAGCGTATCTGGATTCAATGATCGACGATGCCTCCTTGAGCGCCGTTGACGATGTAAGCTTATGATATTTTTATCACTGAAAAAAAAAGGTGAGAGAGAGAGAGAGAGAAGATGAGAAGATGAAAAGATGAGAATATCGATGGGTGAAACGCTGTTTGGCTTAAGCGATATTTTTGCGATTTCACAGGAGAGCCATTTAAAGTTTAAAATTCGGACAAAATATCAAAACGTCTTTAGATATTGAATCGAGAAAATTTAATTTATTTATTTCATAGATGTGAGGACGAGCTTATAGCCCACCTGGTGTTAAGCGGTTACTGGAGCCCATAGACATCTACAACGTAAATGCGCCACCCACCTTGAGATATAAGTACTACGGTCTCAGTATAGTTAACGGTTGATGCTGATACACAATAAAACGAACGTTTAATTATAAAGATAAATGTCGCGTATTAAGCGAAATGTCGCTTATATCGAATAGCCTTTCACCCATCGATATAACGTACAGTCCCTGGCAATAATTACTGCACATCGACCTCTTAGAGGAAACAATCGGCTATTGTAGGCTTCGTGGTGCGTTGTCTCCGTCAATCAAATCTTAAACTAGTGCAAGCGCTCTCGGCTCATCTGGTGTTAGTTGGTTAACGGAGCCCATCATTAACAATGCCAATAGTACGACTACAGGAAACGTTGTCATTATCTTCTTCTAATCCACTCTAGTCTATCATAAGTAATATCTGCACTCGCGACCTTCTATAGCATATTTCTCCTACACAGTCCATCCAAGTCTCTTTAGGACGTACCCCCTTTCTCCTCCTTGTCGTGAAGGTATTTCGCCAAGCGTCGGTATTCCGACTGTTCGTATCATGCTCGTGTGCCTCTGCGATACAGAATCTCTATTTTTTACACGCTTAATATTAGCTTCACTTGTATGTATGTTTGTATTTTATGTTTGTAACTGACTCCTTTAGACGCGATTTTGACCCACTTTAAACGGCCAGATTTCATTCAAACTATGTAGATTTATCGAGGACCGATGATGACAATGCACTAATTTGATAAGATGATTCCATTATTCAATTTGCAAAATAAGATTTTTGCCAATTTATATAATTTTTATCTATAGTCGATGGTGCTTTTAGGCAATACAAGCACCGGTCACCGTCCTCGTCGAACCCGTCGCTTGCGACGAAGGGCTCGACGAGCGAATTAACCCACAGACACAGCCCACTGAGTTTCTCGCCGGATCTTCTCAGTGGGTCGCGCTTCCGATCCGGTGGTAGATTCTGCGAAGCACTGCTCTTGCTAGGGCGGTGTTAGCAATTCTCCGGTTTGAGCCCCGTGAGCTCACCTACACAAGCTAGGGTACGCTGAAATAGCCTCTCAAGGCTATCAGCATAGGTAGGAAAAAAAAAATATAGTCGATAAGGCAGGAATTGATGTTAAAGTACTTAATAGTTTTAAAAATACGCTTTTATAGAAAATTTAACTAAAAAATAAAAAATAAATAATAGTTTAAAAAAACTAACAAACACACTTTATATATAAAATTCAACTAAAAATAGAAATTAAATTTTAATAAATTTAAATTGAAAATAGTGTAAAAAAACATCATCTCTCGAACAGCTGCCCGAGATCTTGCCACGGAACGCGAAGACGACGAACCCGTTCGCGAACGAGAACCGAACCGACCCCGACTTCAGGCTGTACGAGAACCACGAGAACCTGTTCCTGCGCAACATCTCGCAGCGGCAGTCCAAGGAGCTGAGGAACTCGAGGCTGCTGAGGCAGAGCTCGGAGCCGCTGACCGAGAAGAAGACTCCCGCGTTACAGAAGAGCCTGTCTACGGAGCAACGGAACGACAGCGCGCAGGACGAGAGGCCCAAAGTCGAGAACAGCCCCCCCAAGTCCAGAATACCAGTCGCCAACTTCATGTACCCGAACAAGAGCGGTCTGCGTTCCGCTGAGGGCTCCCCGAGGAAGGCGGAGCCGCCGAAGGTCGAGGAGCCCCCCGAGTACCAGAACGTCGTGAACGCCGACCTGGAGCCGCCCGAGCTGGAGGTTCTGCTGGAGAAGAAGCGCAGCGAGAGCGCGGACGTGCCGCCGCCGATACCCAGCCTGCCGGTCAACCCGCGGACCGTCATAGCCAACGCTTACTACGACAAACTCCTTGCCGAACCTGATATACAGCAGGTTAGTTTCACACACCTTTTTTTGGTGCCGTCGCGTACAGATACTTACTTTTTTTACTGGTGGTAGCACCTGTTGTGAGGCCGCGCGAGTAGATACCACCACCCTGCCTATTTCTGCCGTGAAGCAGTAATGCGTTGCGGTTTGAAGGGTGGGGCAGCCGTTGTAACTATATTTGAGATTTTAGAACTTGATCTTAAAGTGGGTGACGCATTTTACGTTGTAGATGTCTATGGGCTCCAATAACCACTTAACACCAGGTAGGCTGTAAGCTCATCCACCCATCTAAGAAATAAAAAATAAAAATTATCGGGACTCGTAAAAAGCTTTGTTAAATCAACCACGCGTATATCAAAGCTGTACCCAAAACAATAATAATACTCTAAAGCCCATCGTAGGATGACATCTTATGTTTTGTGATTTTAAACACGCTGTATATACACGAAGGCAAGGTCACTGACCTTTTTACGTGGCAGCATCGGCGTAAAGTACTCGTCGAGTGTTGTGATCCATAAACCAACTTAGAACTAGATTTATTATTTAGATAATTTATAAACTCGCGTGGGGATACGACACGTCCATGCCCACCACCATCGACCACCCTCGATCTGGAATTCAGGGTTACGCTGACCCCCGCGACGTCGAGTCAACAAACGTTCAGTGTAATTACACAAAGTTCCTCGTCCCACAGGCGCTGCTGCCCCAGAACTTGGAAGAGAATCCAGACGAATGCTTCAAGAAGGCCCTTCTCTTCCCCCTACTGGAAATAGAGGCGCCCAAGCAGTGCTTGTTTTTGTTGGTGGACGCCATCGACCAAGATTCGCTGGACGGTGAGCTTTTTTGGTATACTCATCTTCATTGCTGAGCTCACGGCCCAGCCAGGGTTAGTAGTTCATCATCATAGTCTGTTACTCTTGGTAGAGTGGTCATGTGGAATCCTTGCTTATTAAAGCTTTGACACATGTGTCCATAGTTCGAGAACTGAGGCTTGGCGCACGCACTGGTTAAGTGGGGTTTTGGTAAGGTCTTTCATCTGATGGTTCACGTTACTGGTGGTAGGACCTCTTGTGAGTCCGCTCGGGTAGGTACCACCACTCTGCCTAATTCTGCCGTGAAGCAGTAACGCGTTTCGGTTTGAAGGGTGGGGCAGCCATTGTAACTATACTGAGACATTAGAACTTATCTCTCAAGGTGGGTGGCGCATTTACGCTGTAGATGTCTATGGGCTCCGGTAACCACTTAACAGAAAACATAGACAACGCTGCTATCAAATCGAGACGCGTTTTTGAGGTCCGGGTTGAGGTTGAGGATCTGCATCCTCAACCTATATGCAACATATACAACTAACTGGACAGGTGCGACAGTGAGCTCGGTCCGCAACGAAGACGCAGCTAGCACGGTGGCGTCGCTGCTGGCCCGACAGCAGCACCTCTTCCCGCAGTGGCTCCTGTTGCTGTGCACCGCGCGGAGACACTCCAGGCAGCTCACCAAGATGTTCACGGGTATGACGACGACTGGTATTACGTATGTTATTAGCGCTGGTGACGAGTGGTCACGGACATGGCCAAGTCGCTGACTGCTCCCCTAAGCCGCCTCGTCTGAAGAAGGACCTGGCATACCGCTCAAGCAACTGAGATGATAGAAAATTTTCGTGAGAGCTGAGTGGTAATTTAGGACTTATATCGAAGTCTCTTGATAACCTATAGGAACATCCCAGCGAGTACCTCACTGGATCCTCTCGGAGATTCCTCCTTCCTCGGTAGATTCCGTGAAGCATTGGTTTTAGACCAGTATTAGTAAATTTCTCTGGCTACCCGTGAGCTTGGTAAGCCGTCAGGTGAAACCAGAATAGCCTCATGACTTTACTAGCAATTACCTAGGAAAAACTGTATTGAATAATGACGTCACTGTACAATCTTCTTTCTATTGCCTACTTTGAGATCTTTTCCCTACCTCTTTTTTTATACCTTAGATTGGTGGATGAGCTCACGGCCCATCTAGTGTTAAGCGGTTACCGGAGCCCATAGACATCTACAACGCAAATGCCGTCACCTACCTTGAGGTATAAGTTCTAAGGTCTCAGTATAGTTACAACGGCTGTCCCGCAACGCATTACTGCTTCGCGGCAGAAATAGGCGTGAAATATGTGTATAAAAATATGTGCGTTACAGGGTTCCGTAAGATAACCCTGGACGAGCTCCAGCGCGCGCACGTGTCGGCCGACGTGCAGCGCTACGTGCTGGCGCGGCTGGACACCGAGCCCAGGCTGAGGTGAGGCGTCAGCGACCGCCATGGTCTTCGATTACGACGTAGTAATAGCAAAAAAAAAGTGCGGTACAGTATTTTTGCCACCACCCCGTTTGTTTCTGCTGTGAGGCTTGCAGCATAGATAATGCACATAAATTAGTTATAGATAAGAAATTCAAGCACTCAACTAAAATGCTTACGGTCGTCGGCCACTAGATGGCTTCGCTTCGATTAGTTTTTCATTGCTCCTGTAGATGGCAGTAACATATTACCTGTCCTATGTTTTATTTTTAATAATGGATGTTCGGAGTAATACGGCCGAACATCTTAACAAGATATAACGCCACACTGCACGTTTATTTAAATTTGCAGTTGGACAGTAACATTAACCTGGTTCCGCGGAAGTCGGCTTCGACCGTAACATTTAACATTAACATTTATTAATTACAACATTAACATATAACATTTATAGCATAGAACATTTGTACATGATTGAGTGTATTAATGTGAGTTATTAAAATCCAGACTTATCATTAGTAAACAACTACTACACCACAGATCGGTGCCCTCACATTTTTTTTATCCTTCAAGCCAGATTTGAACCAGCGACATGTATGGATTGGGTGTTTTTGTAAATTTTCGATAGCAAATAAAGGCTTGTTTGATTTTTTATTTTTTTAAATTCTGTGTTTAGTTATATAATAATTAAATGCCTTAACTTTAACAATATATATGTTTAGGGGCATCCGCTACAGGATGTCGCTTGTTTCCATTCAAAAAATATTTGTCTTAATATTAAATTATGTTCATATAAATTTGTAGAAAGGTATGGGAGTTTTAATTAGTTTTTTTTCTTATCTTAGGGCCCGCGTATCAAGCGACTCGGCGGCTGCGGCGGCGGCGGCTGCGGCTCTGGACCACCTCCGAATCAAGAGCGACGGGTGTCTGTTGTACCTTGAGAAGGTATCCGAATCCATTCGTACAGGACCGAATGATAGTGAAAATCAATCGTAATAGAAATCGTGTGGAAATAAATAAAATCCTTGTCTTGTGTATCACTTGAGATCGATATCGTTGAATGAATGCTGCGAAAGGGTCGGTGTTTCCAGTTTGTAAAACGATTTCAATAGATGGCGCTATTTTAAAAATAAAAAAGTCTTGCATTTGCTAATAGATGGCGCTGTAATAAAAAATTAAATCCTCCAGGTTCTGGACGGTGTCGCAGACGGCTTCATAGCTCTTCGTGAGATAAGGGAAATACCGAGCACCCTAAACGGATTGTATCTGTGGCTGGCGCAGAGACTGTTCCATGGGAGACGATTCGCTAAGGTATTATTACGCGCTGGGGTTCGGGATAAATAAATGTTCCACCAAAGTACAACTTCAAACAGTATTTATCACTTACAACACGCACAGAAAACTTTACTCTCCACTTCTTCCGCTTCGCTTCAGGTGATCCGTTACCTATTTCGCTTCGAGTAGTTCCGATTACTGACTAACTGCGTGCTATCCCTACAACGCTTTTATAGCCGATACCACATCCCTAGAATTAACGCGAACATTCCTCACAAGTCGAGCTCTTTCGATGCGTGCTTCCGCTATATGACAAAAGATGGCGTTGTACTTCTCAAACGTTCTAGATGTTAGTAGATCCTTCGATATTCGTTCGACTATTCGGCGATAATTGGCGTTACTTTTACCGGCGTAACAATAGGATACTATTTGTCTCGATCACGCGGGCGTACCTGCCGGTAACAGCTAGGTATTTAATAAAACTATGGCAACAGTCAGTGGCCCGCTTTATCTGCGTCCTAACTGCGGCAGGTTCGTCTCCTGCTGGACGTGCTGCTGGCGGCCCGGTGCGGGGTCACAGAGGAGATGCTCTACAAATGTCTGCTCACGAAGGAATACAGTGTTACACGAGAAGATTTCAATAGAAGAATTCACTTGCTCAGGAGGTCGGTAGTGTTCTTTTTTATTGCTCTTGTAGGCAGACGAGCATACGGCCCATCTGATGGTGACTGATTACCGTCGCTCATGGACTTCAACAATCCAAGGGGCAGAGCCAAGCCGCTGCCTACCGTTAAGTACTCGTCACAAGCCTCGTTTGAAGAAGGACATGTCATAGCGCTCGGGAAACACCGTGGAGGGGAGCTCATTCCATAGCCGGATGGTACGTGGCAAAAAAATATCTCTCGAAGCGCACTGTAGCTGAACGCAGCGGCTTCAGGTAGTATGGATGAACTCTTCTCCGGTGGCGGGCTGTGCGATAGTAAAAAAGTGATGATGGTATCATCTCAAACTATTCCTCAGAGCACTTAGAACTCTTAAGTGAAGGAGGTGGACCTGTCTCGAAGATAACTCTAACCCACAGACACAGCCCACTGAGTTTCTCGCCGGATCTTCTCAGTGGGTCGCGTTTCCGATGCGGTGGTAGATTCTGCGAAGCACGGCTCTTGCTAGGGTTCGTGTTAGCAACGTCGTCAGGTTTGAGCCCCGTGAGCGCATCTACTAGTTAAGATTACGCTGATATAGCCTCTCAAGGCTCGGCTTAGGTAGGGAACAAAAAGAGGATAATGAAATCATGGTAATGTCCTTTCAGAATCCTGGTGATCGAGAAGAGCACGGGCTACCTGTCGATATTCCACCACTCGTTCTCGTGCTGGCTGCTGGACGTCAAGCACTGCACGCGGCGCTACCTGTGTTGCCTGGCGGACGGGCACGCCGCGCTCGCCATGTACTACACGCTCATAGCGAAACGGTAGGCGGAGGGTTGGGAGGGGTAACATAAGTCGACATTGTCCTACGCGGCGCAGTGACGTAATTATGTCGATTTTTCTCTTTGATCTTCTTACTGAGGCGCCGGAATATCTAGTAGACTGGCATGCGTCATGATAATCACCTTATCGTAGCCGCCGCTGACTACTCCCCGAATCCTGATCACGCAGGAGCCGGTCACCGTCGACGCCCTAGACATGTTCTTAAGGATCCATCAGATCCAATAACCTTTGCTTTAAACGCCTTCAGCTCTAACATTAGAAGCAGGCTTAGGGTAACCGTACACGTCGAACTCGACCAAGAGTTCGACGTGCAACCTAACCCATGCATCAGCTCGCTGAGTTTCTCGCCGGATCTTCTCAGCGGGTCGCGATTCCGATCCGGTAGTAGATTCATTCGCGAAGCAGCTGCTCTTGAGTTGTTAGGTCTTCTTCGGAGGCGCTCGGGTAGCTGTTAGCAAATCCCACCTCTCTTGGCTAAGTCTGCTCGCCCACTTGTCCTGGTGAAACTGGAAAGGGCCACCGGTAATCCTTTAATCCTAAAAGAAAACCTATGGGAAAGACGAAACCGAACGATACTGAGANTCCGATCCGATAGTAGATTCATTCGCGAAGCAGCTGCTCTTGAGTTGTTAGGTCTTCTTCGGAGGCGCTCGGGTAGCTGTTAGCAAATCCCACCTCTCTTGGCTAAGTCTGCTCGCCCACTTGTCCTGGTGAAACTGGAAAGGGCCACCGGTAATCCTTTAATCCTAAAAGAAAACCTATGGGAAAGACGAAACCGAACGATACTGAGAATGAAACTGTTTCTATGAGACCTAAGAGACTAAAAGACGAGCGAGACAGCACGAGGTCTTGTTGACTTGAGACCTTAACGTGACGTAATACAGTCTATGTTATCCATCTGTAGTTCCCACGGGTCGGTACCACCGTCCTGCCTATTTCTGCCGGGTGCAAAATTGGTCTGTCAGCTCGTCCATCTTAAGCCTTTAAATCAAACAGTAGACCGGTAGAGCTCACTGTAGCTGTGTCCTCATTCCACATGCAGCCTGTCAGCGCTGGAGATCCACAACTACGTGTACCACATGACGCGGCTGGAGCATCATCTGTCGTCGCTGAACAAGAGCAGAGGGTGAGTGTTTGATTGAGGCGCCCCACAGATACACTCTACTGAGTCACACTCGCCGGATCTTCTCAGTGGGTCTCGGTCCAGTGGTAGATTCAGCGAAGCACTGCTTTTGCCTTTTACACGTCAAGGAGAAGCTGAAATAGTCTCTCAAGGCTATCAGCATAGGTAGGAAAAAAAGCTTGGCTAACAGATCAGTATACTGTATTCAATTGTATTTGCTTATTTACATATTTTTGCGAGCGGGATAGGAATCGTAACGGCTCACACGCTCCCTATGTATTTATAAAGGCTCGCTCGTCTTTCATGTATTTATAACGGCTCATATATATTATCTTTTATGTATTTATAAAGGCTCACTTATCTTCTATTTATTTATAAAGGCTCAAACGTCTTTTATGTATTTATAACGGCTCATATATCTTTTATGTATTTATAAGGCTCACATATCTTTTATTTATTTATAAAGGCTTTTATACTTATTATATATTTATAAGAATCACATATCTTTTATGCATTTTTAACGGCTCACATGTCATTTATGTATATGTAACGGCTCACACATCCTTTATGTATTTATTCTTGTCTGAGTAGCGATCACGACGGGCCGGTCGATCTGCACACCCTGGTCTTGTTGTGGGTGTTGGATTCTTCGTGCGACGTCGAGTCGGCCCTGAAGAACGAGGTCCGGAGACTGGACATGTCGCAGGTCAGTGAGGGGGCTTAGAAAACAAAATAAGACAAATCTACGGTTATATGCGTCTTAGGCACCAATCGGTTAAGTATATAGTGCCTATATCTTCGTAAAAAGGAAACTGGCAAAGCTCGAGATTGCTGATGTCCATGAGCGATAGTGATCGCTCGCCATTAGGTACTATACCCGTCTGATAACATGGCAATAAAGAAAAGGGAACATTTTGAAATCACTTACACTGTTTCATATTAGAGGGTAGTTGGAACAGTAACTTGGATAGCAGTTTTATAATTAATTATATTATCTTAAGCCAGAGATTCCCAAAACGTTCCAAGGGGCCGAATTAAGCGAGATTTTAGTCGAAAGTTCTTCTTTGAAACTTTCATGATGGGGTCTTAAGTTATGTGTCGCCAACTTGTTGTAAGAATGCGAAATATTTTAGTAGAAAGTTTCATTGTTGCAATTAAAATAATCCACAAGTCGATAAGCGTGCAAAAGTTTGTATGCTTGAGGTGTCAGCTCTCTGAGGCACTGGGGCGCTGTTGGCAGAACTCACGTCTCCGTGAACCTGGAAAGGCCCCCGGGTCACCAGCAATACCTCATTCGTCGTATATAAATGGCTAAAATACATTCCATATGAGACGAAAAACACAGGATTGCTTTGAGTAATTGCCATGACGGGGGTCTTAGGCATGAATATAGTCTCAGGGTTACGTGAAAAAGGGGTCTCTCGTCAGCCATCAGCTTGGGAATCCCCGTACTGGACTATGTTAACGTATACAGCATACGTGCTACCGTTGTCCATGGACAATCATTTGCGTTACGTGAAGGAAGTTTCGTGACGTAATGTCGCAGTGGAGACGTTTAATGACGTTGCGGTTTTTTATATCAAAACTCAACTGGTGATCTTGGATTGTATAGAAAACTGAAGCGAGCCACGTCGAAGAGTCGAGCGGGAGGGAGGAGAACGCGCAAGCTACAGGTCGGTCATTATATCCTTTTTTTATATATATTTTTTATTGCTTAGATGGACGAGCTCACAGCCCACCTGATGTTAAGTGGTTACTGGAGCCCATAGACATCCACAACGTAAATGCGCCCCCCACCTTGAGATATAAGTTACATATATGGGTCTCAGTATAGTTACAGCGGCTGCCCCACCCTTCAAACCGAAACGCATTACTGCTTCACGGCAGAAATAGGCAGGGCGGTGGTACCTACCCGCGCGGACTCACAAGAGGTCCTACCACCAGTAATTACGCAAATTATAATTTTGCGAGTTTCATTCTTTATTAGAGTCATACATACACCTATTAGATTAGGTCGGCTTATATCCGTTAAGGTTGATTGATAGGGGGCGTGCGAGGCCGCATTGGCAGCGCTCCGACTTGTGTGCGAGTTTTTTAACTCCTCGATCGCGTTAAAGTTAACTGAGTTGAAACAGCGCCATTGCGTTTGCTGCTGTGGGCGCTGTTAGAGTTTTAAAAATAGTCTCCATTTACTGGTGTAAGCGAGCTCAGAACTCATCTAATGTTAAGTGGTTCCCGGAATCCATCTCTTGGAACGCGTTACTGTTTCGCGGCAGTAATAGGCATTACCCATCCATTGTTTGTTATTATAACCTATTTTTAATGCGTCAGTTAAATACCCAGGGTAGTCATTGTAGACTGAATTGGTAAAAAAACAACAGATATAGTTTTAGGAAAATCGGTTTTCTGACTAAATCCATTTTGCAATAAAACACGTAATATCTCTCTTATCGCTTCCTGTAATTTAATAACTTCGAAAACAACGGATCATGTAACTTAAGTCTATTGTAATAAAGTTGAAATTCGTTTAAAACAAATTGTTTAAATAATCTATCGTTGATTTTACACTTTGTGTTCTAAGGGATAAAGACGTTTATTCTCTGTGTATTTCCACGCAAAAGGAACAAAGTAATGATGATTAATTCGAATGTGTTTCAGTTGTTTGTTGTGTGTTTCGATTGAGGATGTGTAATTTGATTTTGAAAAAAAAAATTCAATAAAAAGGCGTGGTTAATTATTTCTACATAATAATTTTGTTGTATCGTGGTTGTAAAAGGCTATTTGGTTTGAGTGAAAATTCGCTTAATACGCGACATTATCTTTGTAATTAAAGGTCAGTTTTATTTGATATCAGCATCAACAGTTCAATATTTTTAATTGAACTTCAATAAAGCTTAGTAAGTTCACTCTATTCAAACAGCTGAAGAAGTATTATTTGTTATGATATTTTTTCCAAACTTTAAACTTTGAATGGTAACATGTTGCAAAACTGTAGCTTAAATCAAATCGACTTTCCCCCCTCGATAAGTGTGCGACAGAAACTTTTATTTGTACATATATTAGAGTGAGATTAGTGTAATGGTATGGATCAGCTTGTTGGAAGACTAAAGTGGCGGTGCGGATATTGCGATGGATGTGTGGAGTAATGAAAATGGATAGAATACGGAATTAATATTTTAGAGGAAGTCTGAAAGCGGCATCTGTGACTGAGAAGCTGAGAAGTGCGCGTTTGGGATGGTATGGACATGTGATGAGACGAAATGAAAATTAGGTCGGTAAGAAAATGAGTGTGGAAGGATATAGCGGAGAGGTAGACCTAAGAAGAAGTGGATAGATTGCGTGAAAGACGATATGGGTAAGAGGGGGGAGTGAGCGAAGAAATGGTATATGATAGAGGAGTAGGGAAAGAGAAAACATGTTGCGCCGACCCCGAGTGACTGGGAGAAGGGCAGGAGAAAGATGATTCATGAGTATTATACCAGTGTACCCGTGCGGGCTCACAGCATCTCCTACCGCCAGTTCTAAGACGATTACCTGTCATTATCTCGGTGCTTAGATTCCGCCTCAATTGAGTCAATAATGCCGGAGCTGATCAGCGGAGCCCCAGTCGCTTGGTGCAAGGACAAGCGGGTCGCGAGGGCGCTCTACGAACTAGCTAAAGGTCCGGCCCTGCTCGACCCCAGCGACGTCGGAGCCGGAGAGGTCAGTGGACATCAAACTGATTGTTATATTTGCATGTGTCAATATTCAGGGGAACCGACAAAGCTATCTTCCACCGGGCACGTGGCTTCCATCAACGTTTCAAATCTTACTTTTTTCCGACCTAAACTGGTTACCTTGGAAGGCTATGTCAGTCTAACCTGACAGGTAGGTGAGCTCACGGGGCTCTAACCTGTGGACGTTGCTAACATTGGCCCTAGCAAAAGCAGTGCTTCGCTGAATCTACCACTGGATCGGAATCGCGACTCACTGAGAAGATCCGGCGAGAAACTCAGTGGGCTGTGTCTGTGGGTTAATTTACTCGCCGAACCCTTCGGAATCTTACTGTTTGGTACTTGTATTATATCGCACCTTTAGAATTGAAGTGGTTTAACTAAAAATTTAAGAAGACGAGTTTTATACTTTGCACGACTTATAAACACGTATTCTAAAATTAAATTTAAAAGTTTAGTCTAGAAAAAGACAACGAGACACTTTTCGTCTCTTTTAAATCAAGCTTAAGAATTACTTTAAAGGTGTGCCGTAGTACGACTTCATGTATTAGAATCAAAACTGAAAAATTACAATAATTCAATTATAATTTTGGCCTTTATCAAATGCGATATACAATCTTGATTAAATCGTTAGCCCGATTCAGAACGCGGTCGAATATTTTGTCCTGTGACGGTTAACCTGACTGGTGCTAGCTTTTCGTGGGTGTCGTGAGGAGTCTTCAGGTATTCAGCGGAGTATGGGCAGCAGCGATCTCTGCCGAACTGGTAATACTCAGGTATTTTACCAGTTCGGTGGAAGAGAGCACGAAAAGGACTTTTTCTCCATCTTCTCGGAGTTAGGAGGAAGTGGCAGAGTTTAACGCTTGGTTTTATCATCAGGTGATAATAGAGCAGTCGAACGAGGATGAGGTCCCCCAGGAATCCTGTGAGGAACGGGAGGATCCCATAGTTCTAGACCCGAATATCATACACGAGCTGGTCGCTAGGGGCGACGAGGAAACCCTGGCTACGCTTCTGAAGGTATTCTCAGTTTTGTTTTATCGACATGCTTAAAATCAGAAACAGTTGTTTATTGTGAAAAAATATAAAAAACAATCGAGAATGTACTTTACTTTACTTTGGTGCCCCGGCAGAGGGGGAGGTGTCTCATCTGGGACGCAACTTGCGTAGACACTCTTGCTGTCAGTCATCTATGTCGCACAACTCGAACGGCAATATTTAACTGATATTTTTTTTGCATGCAGTACGCGCCGTGTGCGACTAAAGACAGCAATAGTTTAGAGCGAGAGCGCATAATCGCCGCCGCCATTTTAGATTCGTTTCTTTATTGGCGCGGCTTATAACTGTGTTTGTTTCGTCGCCAGCGTCACCCGGAGCTGGTGGGTGCGGGGGGCGGTGGGGAGGCGGGGCTGCAGGCGGCGGCGCGCGCCGGGCGGTCGGGCTGCGCGCTGGCCCTGCTGCGTGCGGGGGCGGCGCCCGACGTGCCTGACGCTGACGGCTGGAGCCCGCTCCGAGCCGCCGCTTGGGCTGGACACACCGAGGTACATCTTCAGAACGGCCTTGTCCTTCTTAGCTATCCTCAGTCACTATCACGGTATAGTGGCCGCCACCGTTCCTGATACGAAGCTATCACTAAGACTAGTGATAGGACTTGTGAGTCCGCACGGGTAGGTACCACCGCCCCGCCTATTTCTGCCGTGAAGCAGTAATGCGTTTCGGTTTGAAGGGTGGGGCAGCCGTTGTAATTATACTGAAATCTTATATCTCAAGATAAGTGTCGGTATTAACGTTGTAGATGTCTATAGGCTCCGGTAACCACTTAACACGAGCTGTGAGCTCGTCAACCCATCTAAGCAATAAAATGAAAAGTATCGAAAAACTATTTCCTCGACTCAAGGGTAACATTCACTTAACATCAGATGAGCTTGTGTTCTTATTGAGGTAATGCAAAGTTGATTTAAGGAAAGTTTAGGGCCCTAAAAATCTTTGAACCCGTGGTCCGCTCCCATTATATGAAGACAGTCGAGTCTCACATACCCCGCATGTCCCCTAAGTGGACACCTCATATGAGGCTCGGTTCCCTGCCGAAAATAAAAAGAGATGTGTGAATAAGTGGGTATTGTCGGTGCCATAGTATCTTCTAACCTTGAGAAGGTTATGTGACGTCATTGTTTTTGTAACGCCAGGTCGTGGACGTGCTGCTGGAGTACGGATGTGACGTCGATTGTGTGGACGCGGACAACCGGACTGCGCTGAGGTGAGCATAGTGTAGCCTCAGCTATGCTCATAGCGAGCTGGGCGGAGAGGAGCGTGGGGAGGAGATTGTGTGGAGAGCCTTGTGAGCCCGCGCGAGTAGATACCACCGCCCTGATACTTTCTGCCCAACCATGTCTCAGTAAATACCCACAATTTCACTTATCCGGGGCTGCAGCTTTTATAAACCACGACAGAGATGAAGTTTCATCATCAATAAACATTTCCGATCCTGCGGACCGAATGGTATACAGTCGACGTAGTCCAAAACATGGATCCTCTCGATCCACTAACAGTGCTTTTAGGTACCTCAAACACCGGTCATCGTTCTCGTCGAACCCGTCGTTGGTGACGAAAAACTCGGCGAGTAAACTAACCCACAGACACAGCCCACTGAGTTTCTCGCCGGATTTTCTCAGTGGGTCGCGTTTGCGATCCGGTCGTAGATTCTGCGATGCACTGCCCTTGCTAGGGCTAGCGTTAGCAACGTCGTCAGGTTTGAGCCCCGTTTGCTCATCTACTAGTTAAGGCTACGCTGAAGTGGTCTCTCAAGATCATCAGCTTAGGTAGGAAAAAAAACAAAGTATTTTAGCTTTATTAGTTGAGCGCCTTTGACTTCAATGTTAAATCTATGGGCTCGAACAATGTTCTTTTTTCTTTTTTTTATTGCCCTTGTAGGCAGACGAGCATGCGGCCCACCCTATGGTGTGTGGTTACTGTCGCCCATAAACTGGCAGAGCCAAGCCGCTGCCTGTTGTTAGTTTCACGAAATATACCTATAGTTTATTGTTTGTGGGTAATCGAAATAAAACAGGGCCAACGTTTTTAACGTGCCTCACTTATAGGGCGGCGGCGTGGTCCGGCCACGAGGCGGTGGTCTCCCGGCTGCTGGCCGCCGGCGCAGCCCCGGACCGCGCGGACGCGGAGGGCCGCACGGCGCTGATAGCCGCCGCGTACATGGGGCACGCCGAGATCGTGAGGGCGCTGCTGGACGCCGGGGCCCGCGTGGACCACGCCGACGAGGACGGTCCGTGACCACACTTATCTCATTTAACTACTACTAACGCTTTCCGGTTCGAAGGGAGGAGCATATCTCATTCAGCTACCAGTAACGCCTAAGGAAGGAAGGGTCAGCCAATGTGTTACAGAACCGATACATAAAACTAATTTCTCAAGGTAATGGCTGTTGTATACTATGTCAACATTATAATCTTGATTCTTGTTAGATATAGCGCCATCTATTAGGCATACACATAGGATACCTGTCATGGCATCTCTTTGTTTTTGAATCCCTAGACATTTACAACATAAATGCGCTACCCAACTTGAGATATAAGTTCTAAAGTCTCAGTATAGTTACAACGGCTGCCCCACCCTTCAAACCGAAACGCAATACTGCTTCACGGCAGAAATAGGCAGGGTGGTGGTACTTGCCCGCGCGGACTCACAAGAGGGCCTACCACCAGTAATTTCGCAAATTATAATTTAGCGGGTTTGATTTTTATTACACGATGTTATTCCTTCATCGTGGAAGTCAATCGTGAACATTTGTTGAGTACGTATTTCATTAGAAAAATTAGCACCCGCCTGCGGGATTCGAACACCGGTGCATCGCTACGTACGAATGCACCGGACGTCTTATCCTTTAGGCCACGACGAGTCCACAAGTCTCGAGTAGTGGCAGCGCGCTCGGTCCGCAGGTCGCACGGCGCTGGCGGTGGCGTCGCTGTGCGCGGGCGGCGCGGCGTGCGCGGCGCTGCTGCTGGAGCGCGGCGCTGACGTCACGGCGCACGACCGCGACCACGCCACGCCGCTGCTCGTCGCCGCCTTCGAGGGTCACACGTGAGTACTCCACGTCCGCTAACGGTGCTTTTAGGTACCTCGAGCACCGGTCATCGTTCTCGTAAAGTATTGCTCAAGCTTGATTTAAAAGAGCCGAAAAGTGTATCTTTGTTCTTTTATAGGCTAAGCTTTTAAATTTATTTTTTCTGATAGAATACGTGTTTGTAAGTCGTTCAAAGTATAAAACACATTTTGTTAAAATTTTTAGTTAAGCCACTTCAATTCTAAATGTGAAATATTATACAATTACCGAACAGTAAGATTCCATCGCTTGCGACGAAGGGTTCGGCAAGTAAATTAACCCTCAGACACAGCCCACTGAGTTTCTCGCCGGATCTTCTCAGTGGGTCGCGTTTCCGATCCGGTGGTAGATTCTGCGAAGCACTGCTCTTGCTAGGGTCAGTGTTAGCAACAGCGTCAGGTTTGAGCCCCGTGAGCTCACCTACTAGTTAAGATTACGCTGATATGGTCTGTCGCTAAGAGAACTGTGGATTATTCTACGAAACTGTGCAAAAAATGTGATGACAATTAAAAAACCTAACATTATAGATTAATTATTAAATTACAGATATTAAATACCGAAAAAGGAACTTTAACTGTATACTAATAAAATTCGGTATTTCTATAATAGATTACTTAATATATATTAGTTGACTCTTGGCTAGTGACAATGCTGGCAGCCACGCGTGGTTTTCATAAAACAGAACACACTCAATTCTATACCTTATGTAAAAGAAATATGATTTCCTCGTAAATTAGCAATTTCGGGACACGCTGCTACAGATAAAAACTACAATTTATCTTTTATTATTTAAATTGATCTCCAGCGGTTTAACATTGAGGTCTGTCTACACACCGTAAAAGAAGTGTCACTTTTTTCACGTGCACCAATTTGCACGCGCATTTTTGAAATTGACCCCTAGTGGCTTAACATTGAGGTCTGTCTGCACATCGCAAAAGAAGTTCCACTTTTTTCACGTGCACCAAGTTCACGCGCATTTCTCAAATTGACCCCCAGTGGTTTAACATTAAGGCCTGTCTACACACCTCAAAGTTTCACTTCTTTCACGTGCACCAACTTGCACGTGCATTTTTCATTGCTTAACCCTGAAGCCTGCTACACACCGCAAAAGAAGTTTAACTTCTTTCACGTGTACCATTTTTTCTTCAAAGAGACTCCTCGTGTTGTAACCGTGAGGTGTGTGTCGGCAGCGAGATCTGCGAGCTGCTGCTGGAGGCGGAGGCGGACATCGAGGCTTGCGACGGCGCCGGGCGCACCGCGCTGTGGGCGGCGGCGTCGGCCGGGCACGCCGACACCGTGCGCCTGCTGCTGTTCTGGGGCGCCTGCGTGGACGGCATGGACGCCGAGGGCCGCACCGTGCTGTGCACCGCCGCCGCGCAGGGTCCGTACCAGCCCCCAAACTGTAACGACCCTAAACACGATATAGGGTTCGGCCGGCGCCAGAGCGAGACAGAAGACTTTTTTTCGAGCTCACAGCCCACCTGGTGTTCAGTGGTAACTAGAACCCATAGACATCTATAGCATAAATGCCGCCACCCACCTTGACATATGAGTTCTAAGGTCTCAGTATAGTTACAACGGCTACCCCATTCTTCAAACCGAAACGCATTACTGCTTCACGGCAGAAATAGGTGGGGTGGTAGTATCTACCCGTGCGGACTCACAAGAGGTCCTACCACCAGTTTTGCTTGTCTCTTTTCACCATAGATAATAAATACACTTAAATTAGTTATAGATAAGCAACTCAAGCACTCAACAAAATAGTTTACGGGCGTCGACCACTAGATGGCTTGGCTTCGATTAGTTTATCATTGCTTCTGTAGATGGCATTAACATATTGCCTATCCTCTATTTTATTTTTAAAAAAAGATTCTGTAAATTTTCAAAAACCACAAATTGATAAAATTTAATCAAGTTGTCTATAACAAATTCAGACTTGTATGATTTATATTTTTTTTTCTACGTTTAGTTATACAATAATTAAATGCCTTAACTTTAACAACATATAAGTTTAAGGGCATCTGCTACAAGATGTCGCTGGTTTCCATACAAACAAAATATTTTTCTTAAAGTATCGCAGTTTCAGAGCCCTGCTTCTTATAAAGGGACTATACGATGCTCAGGTCACTGTGACAGATTATACCCGGTGTGTCCCTGTTTTGTGCAGGCAACGTGGAAGTGGTGCGGCAACTCCTCGACCGCGGCCTGGACGAGCACCATCGGGACAACTCCGGCTGGACGCCCTTACATTACGCGGCTTTTGAAGGTAAGTTAATTGAGGGTTTGTGTGCCGATGCATTGGGAAGAGAGGTGGGAGGACCCCCTGAGCCCCTGATTGTCCCCGTGACTCTGTCCCCCACTGGGGTCTGGATTAAATTCGATACTAATCAATTATTGCTCGATTCCCTACTTACAACATGAGGTCAATTGCACCTTATGAAGGCTGTCCCATGACTCCCGGTACAAATAGACATGGAGGTGGTCGGTCGGCGTTCGTAAGTTACTGCAGCAATGACCAGAGCGCGTTGCTGTTCGTTCTCGCTTTCTGATGTGGTATCCCCGGGCAGAGTTGGGGGATCGGAGAGCGATTTTGGACGTCACTTGCCATTTTTTTTTATTGCTTATTTGGGTGAATGAGCTCACAGCCCACCTGGTGTTAAGTGGTTACTGGAGCCCATAGACATCTATAACGTAAATGCGCCACCTACCTTGAGATACAAACTCTAAAGTCTCAGTATAGTTACAACAGCCCCACCCTTCAAACTGGAAGGCATTACTGCTTCACGGTAGAATCAGGCAGAGTGACGGTACCTACCCGTGCGGACTCACAAGAGGTCTTATCACCAGTAAAGTTATTCCACGAGTTCAGTTAAATTCCAGGTCACATCGAAGTGTGCGAAGCGTTACTAGAAGCAGGCGCTAAGGTGGACGAGGCCGACAACGACGGTAAGGGGGCGCTGATGCTGGCCGCCCAGGAGGGACACACCAGGCTGGTGGAGATCCTCGTGGACGACTGGGGGGCGCCCGTCGACCAGAGAGCTCACGACGGAAAGACCGCTTTAAGGTAAATACGTAATTCTTGAAAGCGATGTTGTTTTTTACTGGTGGTAGGACCTCTTGTGAGTCCGCACGGGTAGGTACCACCGCCCTGCCTATTTTTGCCGCGAAGCAATAATGCGTTTCGGTTTGAAGGGTGGGGCAGCCGTTGTAACTATACTTGAGACCTTAGAACTTATATCTCAAGGTCGGTTGCGCACTTACGTCATAGATATCTATGGGCTCCAGTAACCATTTAACACCAGGTGGGCTGTGAGCTAGTCCACTCATCTAAGAAATAAAAAAAATAAAAAATTGGAATGAATTTAACCTGACCCGCTCGTCCCCAGGCTGGCTGCTCTGGAGGGCCAGTTCTCGACGGTGTCGGCGCTGCACGCGCGCGGCGCGGACGCCGACGCCGTGGACGCGGACCGGCGCAGCACGCTGTACGTGCTGGCCCTCGACAACCGCCTCGCCATGGCGCGCTTCCTGCTGACCTCCTGCGGCGCCAGCGTGCACACGGCCGATGCTGAGGTGACCTTTTATTTTTTTTTTCCTACCTAAGCTGATAGCTTTGGGAGGCTTTATCAAACTAGTAGGTGAGCTCACGGGACACAAACCTGACGCTGTTGCTAACATTGCCCCTAGCAAGAGCCGTGCTTCGCAGAATCTATCACCGAATCGGAATCGCGACCCACTGAGAAGATCGGGCGAGAAATTCAGTGGGCTGTGTCTGTGGGTTAATTTACTCGTCGGGCCCTCCGTCGCAAGCGACGGGTTCGATGAGAACGATGACCGGGGAGGTGACCGACCCCCTTCAATATGTTATGGCCGCTTCTGATACTAGAGTCATCTGTCGTAGAATTAGTTGTAATAGTAGTAGCGAGCAGCGTAACAAACGTTATCTAGTAGGGACTAGAAACTTGACCTTCCAAGTTTTAAGTAGACAGTTGGACGGTGTCTGGTGGAGGGGGTCGTACAGCCACGATATGTGGTATGTAATTGGGGCGTGCTCACGACCGGCTTCCAAGATGTAATAATAACATCGATTAATAAACGAGATTGCCGAAAATCCCCACTCCCCCCCCCTTTCTGCCGTGAAGTAGTCACGGTTTTTACCACCGTGGTATAATACCGACTTCGACCTCATATCTCAAGCCAGGCGGCATCCTCGTAGTGATTATGGGCTCTGTTTGGTCACTTGGAGCAACCAAAAAAGCATACTGTTGTTGAGTCTCTATATTTCGGGCAAGGATCAATAAGACACGTGTTCATTTAATGACTAAAGTATATTCGGATTACAACCTAACGTGCTATCGACAGCCCGACAATCTTAAAATTGACGTAGCAACACTGCAATATAATTATCGCTAACGCATACGTATTGTTACGCCCCGGGGTTCGGAATAAATAAAAAAAATTCTATCGAAGTATAAATAAACTTTAAAACTCGTAGTTCACTTCTTCCGCTTCGCTTCAGGTGATCCGTTCACTGTTTCGCTTCGAGTAGTTCCGATTACTAACTAACTTACTGCGTGCCAAACGCCTTTATAGTCGATACGACATCCCTAGAATTATCGAGAATATTCCTCACGAGTCGAGTATTTTCGACGTGTGTTTCCGCTATCTCACAATAGATGGCGTTGTAATTCTCCAGCGTTCGAGATGTTACTAGATCCTTGGATATTCGTTTCGGCGTTTCAGCGATAGATGGCGTTACTCTTACCGGCGTAACAATATTAATAGATGCTATGGGGCATTTGTGGTCCCTACACTGTCAATGTCATGCTACATGTGTCTGTGGGTTTCAGGGTCGCACTCCCTTGCACGTATCAGCGTGGCAGGGTCACACCGACATGGTGAATTTGCTGATCACAGTAGGTAAGGAGGGCTTCTATTCTAAATATATTTATAAATGATATATAGAATATTCTAGAACGATTGAACAGTAATAAAAGACTTGTTTTCTGGAAATGGTAAGAAAACAACATTTAAAGCCTTTAATCTCCTTTTTAAATTATTATTTTGAAGAGTTCTATTGAATTATGTAAAACGGAACCTTTCTTTTTTTCTAAATAACAGACCGGTCAGTTAATTTGTCTAAGGAATATCTTTTTTTTTAAACTAAACAGTTTCAGTCCTTAAACTTCCCTTAAAGGTTCGCTCACAAGTTTACTGGTAGGACTTCTTGTGGTTCCGCGCGGCTAGGTACTACCGCCCTGCCTATTTGTGCCGTGAAGCAGTAAAGCGTTTCGGGTTGAAGGGTGGGGCAGCCGTTGTACTGTAAAAACTGTGTATCATACTTTATATTGCGCACATCCCTATTTGTCATTCCTTGTAAAAAGAGAGAGAGAGGGAAAGAGACAATACACTTTATTGCACACTAAAACACAATTCACATTAAAAAAACAGTCAAAAACCAGATACATTTACAATAGGGGGTTTTAATATTAAAAATTCTGGAAAATATAAAAATACTAGCGACCCGCCCTCGCTTCGCTTCGGAAACTATAATTTATTATTGATTTCTCCACTATTTAATGGATGTTATTATGCATATAAACCTTCCTCTTCAATCACTCTATCTATTAAAAAAAAACGCATCAAAATCCGTTGCGTAGTTTTAAAGATTTAAGCATACATAGGGACAGACAGATATAGGGACAGAGAAAGCGACTTTGTTTTATACTATGTAGTGATAGCACAGGTATGTTGTGGTGTACTATTGACAATACATTATTATAGAAAATATTATACATACAATATTAGATATATACTGTTTACATATTAAGTAGATATCTATTGGCTCCGGGTGTGCTGTGAGCTGTTCACTGAATCCGTGTGGTGTGCGTGCGGCAGGGGGGGCGCGCGCGGACGGGCGGGACGCGGCGCGGCGCACGGCGCTGCACGCGGCGGCGTGGCGCGGGCGGCGGGCGGCGCTGCACGCGCTGCTGCGGCACGGCGCCGACCCCTCCGCGCTGTGCTCGCAGGGAGCCACGCCGCTAGGTGCGTACTTATTGCCTTACAGGGTTTGGGCTTTAAAAAAACTAACAAAATACGCTTTTATAGAAAATCCAACTGAAAAATAGAAAATAAATTTTAATAAATTTGAATTGAAATTTTTAATTATAATTTTTAATTTCAATTTTAATTCTTACACTTACACACACAACGGAATTTTTGAACATGATTTTGACCCCCTTCAAAACGTCGGATTAACTCGAAATTTGGTATACTTATTAAGGACCGACTACAATTCAAAATAAAAATAAAATTGAAAAGAAAAAATTGAAATTCAACAAAAAAATGAAAAATAACTAATAGTTTAAAAAAACTAACAAAATACGCTTTTATAGAAAATCCAACTAAAAAATAAAGTTTAATAAATTTGAATTGAAAATTTTAATTATAATTTTTAATTTCAATTTTAGTTCTTACAGTATTTTTAATTCAAATTTATAAAAATTTATTTTAATACACATTCACTCTGACGCTAAAGTAAAATTTGTAAAAAATTAAGGCTTCGTCAAACAGAACGCGTACTTAGCGCGCATCAGATCGCTAAACTGGCGGTGCGCTAAGACGCCAAGGTGTGTTGTGCTACTATGGTAATATACTGTCAAACAGAGCGCCACCGCTAGCAGTACGCAACTACGCAACGTTCTGTCGCGGCATTAGGACGCTATGGCGTCAGGCGTTGTAATTTTTTACAAATTTTATTTTAGCGTCCGAATGAATGTGTATTAAAATACTGGAGATTGCCCGAAAAATCGATAGAATTAGAAAATACCCATGCTTATATAATGCCACATCTGAATCACTCGACATCTCAATACTTTTAAATTTTGCACACTGCTATCGAAAGGCACTATGATTTGGCGAATGCTACGTAGCGTCAAGTCAATTTATGTGACATGAAAAGAGCGCGCCGTTAAAACGCAGCACTAAGTACGCATTCTGTTTGACAAAGCCTTTAGGGCTATATTTCACCCGTACACCGAGACATCTTTTTTCATTCATATTTTCATATTCATATTTTTTTCATTCATATTTTAATAGGATGTGTAAGGAAATAATACAAGACTTAACTTAATGGTTTTGTCATCGGATTATAAAATAAACAAATATATAAACATATGTATATTTGTAGAGTTAAAAATAAAATTTGTTCAATACAAAAAATCGTTTCACGTTGTTTGTCCGCAATGAACTTCTGAACTAATTAACTGGTTTCAATGAAACTTTGCTTACCGTTCGTAGTCTAATCCGGCTTGAGAGATAGGATAATTTTTATTTCAATTTATAATAACAATTTTTTGTAATAGTAGACCAAGGATTATGTATTTATGTTGTAAATATCAAAATACAGATGCCACTAGCGACATCTCTTAATACTTATTTATAACTAATATGTTATGTTACATTCAATATATTAAAGTTATTTATTCGCTTCCCGTCACAGTTTAAATCACTTTGTTTTTAAATCAATTTACGTTACGGGCCCAGAACCATATAAAAAATCTGATTATAAAAAATATATATAGTGAATTTATTGCTAGAATTATCAGTGTGATGAATAATATATTTGCTAATGGTGTTCTAAAAGTTAACTTATTTTACTTATCTTTGACATCTAGACGTTTCTAAGCGAAGGTGGTGTCAGTTATCTTATGGACATGAGATTAGTTCTTGACTGTTCACGTGCGTATTGGTGTTCAGGTATAGCTGCGCAGGAAGGTCACGAGGAGTGCGTCCTGTATTTGCTGCAGTATGGCGCTGATCCCCAGCAGACCGACCACTGTGGTGAGTTACTATTGTAACTATAATTCATATCTCAAGGTGGGCTGTGAGATCGTCCACCCATCTATGCAATAAAATAATTTATTAAAAAGTATTCCATTATGTAGGTATCCAACCGAATATCCTTTGTAAACACCTCCTCAAATTGTCTAATAAAAAAGTAAAATATACCTTATTACAACTATGCCTAAAGTTTGTTTTTATTTTCTCACGTACGGAACGTATCCGTAACTTATAATTAAAGCCCTGTTCATTAGAGCTAATTTTGTTTGAAGGTCGGACGCCTGCGAAGGTCGCCTGGCGGGCGGGCCACGCGAACATATGTCGCTTGTTGGAACGGTGGCCGACGGTCAGCGAACAGCTACCACCGACGGCGCCGCCGCTGGCCGCCAGAACGCCCAGTGCTGGTAAGTCGCCTCTCCAATGAGGAGTGTTGTTGTATCTGACCACTGTCCTACCATGACGCATGCTTGAACAGTTTGGATGTATGAATGTCGCTGGGACTTTTCCAATTAAACCATGTGTCTTTATTTATCATCAGTCTTTTTTTGCCGTCATAACTATATTGAACTTTATTTCTAAGTGACATAAGATCGAATATCCATGTTCTCAAGTATTCGATACGAACAATCCAAACTGTAATACTAGTAGATCTTTATACGACACAAGACGTATACGCGATATAAGTTGGTAAGGTTTTATTAAAAAGTTGATCCCAAAATTTGAGGGAAATGGCTCGATATTTGAAAAATAAAAGAGATGGGTTTTATATATGTAATAAAGGAGATGGGTGCTTGTTTCACAATTAAATCACGCGAAAGACTTTGGACTTCCATCGAAATAGAAATTAAAACCCAATTTTACTGTCAATGACAATGACAATTTTGACGGGATCTTGAGATTGACCTAACGGCTGAAGCGGGTCAGTCAGTACCAATCAAAACGAAGTCCGTCCAAAGATCGCCGACAAAGCGAGCCCGGTTTTACTGGTTGAGTAACAAAAAAAATGTAATTTGCAAATAAATACACTTGGGGGCGTTATTTTATTTAGTTGCATCAACAAAGTGTACATCAAAAGAAAACATTGACAAATTGACAATAAGTACATGACAGATGTCACCTCAATTGAGGCCGTCAGCGCAAAAGTGGCCTAAGCTTAGCATAGTTATTATGGAGCAGTGAGGTTTAAGTTTTCACTAAATTTGAATTTGAGTAGGCAAAAAGACAATACGCGCAAAAATAATGTTCACAAAGCTATTTTCTGTTATCTATGGGTCAAAATATGGATAGGCCGGTTAAATTTATTATTTTTATATAAATTGCAATATACATCATTATAAGGAATAATTATGAAAAATTGCGGGCTAGGCCACTTTTGTGCTGACGACTTCAATTATATGTGCAATTGATAATTCAGTAATCGACAACATCTTGAAATTAGAAAACTAAAAATACAAATTATATTTGAATGTAGTTGCTTCAATCACGCAGGCTCACCGGAGTTCAAACGCCGCAGCGTCCACAGTTCGAACTCGACCAAGTCCTCGTCGAACCTGACCGGGGGCTCGCACCCGTCGCACGAGCCCGAGCCGCCCGCGGAGCCCCACGACAAGGTGAGCGCGTGCAGCCGGACACGCCGACTGGACCAAACTCTCCAATGAACCACGTGCCTAATACAAGCTCACTAATGACTTCCACGGCGAAGGAATGAAGTCATGTAACAGGAATCGATAGAAGTCGTCGTGGCCTAAAAGATAAGACGTCCGGTGCATTCGCATCTAGCGATGCCACGGTGTTCGAATCCCGCAGGCGGGTACCAATTTTTCTAATGAAATACATACTAAACAAATGTTCACGATTGACTTCCACGGTGAAGGAATAACATCGTGTAATAAAAATGAAACCCGCAAAATTATAATTTGTGTAATTACTGGTGGTAGGTAGCTCTTGTGAGTCCGCGCGGGTAGGTACCACCACCCCGCCTATTTCTGCCGTGAAGCAGTAATGCGTTTCGGCTTGAAGGGCGGGGCAGCCGTTGTAACTATACTGAGACCTTAGAACTTATATCTCAAAGTGGGTGGCGCATTTACATCGTAGATGTCTATGGGCTCTAGTAACCACTTAACACCAAGTGGGCTGTGAGCTCGTCCGCCCATCTAAGCAATAAAAAAGATTACTATGCAGTATTGAGAAATAGACGTCGAGATTCGATTTGAGTGACGTGGTCTCGTGATATTTGGGGTTTCCGACAACTTCATGATAGCGGGTGAACCGGGAGAACGTTTGCCGGACCAGGAATCGAATCTTCTCGTTAATTTACACGAGTCGTTACGACAGTCAACGCAGTATCGAATGTTAGGCGAGACGAGCTGCTTATATCGCACCTTAAGAATTGTGGTGGCTCAACTAAAAATTTTAAGAAAATGACTTTTATACTTTGAACGCTTTACAAACATGTCTTCTATTAGTTTATATAAAAAAAAAACAAAATGTGTGCAATTCACACGTGGTAGAAGTGAAACCTTCCAAAATTAAAATACAATTATCCTAAACGTCTTAAGTATATGTAGAATGTTGTCATTAGTAAATAATTGTAAGGTAGCGCCCTCTGTGAATTGATATTTTAATTTCACGTATAATCCTAAATTAAAATTCACTACAAGAGCTTTCATACACACGTTAGTATTAAAAAATCTCACAGATGGCGCTGTATTAAATAGTATGTATATTTCTGTCTCATTCTTTGCTGGCTTCATCCTACACATTTTTNTAAATTAAAATTCACTACAAGAGCTTTCATACACACGTTAGTATTAAAAAATCTCACAGATGGCGCTGTATTAAATAGTATGTATATTTCTGTCTCATTCTTTGCTGGCTTCATCCTACACATTTTTGTATTTTTGTCTCTTACCTGTCGTTTTTTCCGTTGCATCCGGTTTGAAATCACAACGATTCTAAAGAAGTTTTCACTTCAAAAATTAAAAATTAAGTTAAAGTTTTGATCTAGAAAGGAACAAAGTATACTTTCGGTCTCTTTTAAATCAAGCACTTTAAGGCTTAAAGTATTATAATCGAAACTGAAAATTTATGTACAAAATACTTCAATTAAATACTTCGCGATTACCAAAAATAACGAGAATTTTGAATTTAGCCACTTCAATTCTAAAGGTGCGATATGTTGACACCTGCGTGTGCGTGTGCGTATGCGGGTGCGTGTGGGGGTGCGTATGCGTGTACGCGCACGTGTATGTCGGCGTTAAGCCAGGGTTTTCACACATAAGTTCTTTTACAATGAAAATACAATACAATTCTGTAAAACTTTAACATTACTTGTTTACAACACAAAGCCATGTCTTGGTTCTTACACAATTAGCCATTTTGTGTTGGTTATAGCAACTACAACTTCTATTATACAAACAAATGTAATTACTGCGAAATAATTCACAAAATATAGCTTATTATTCACAATACATATTTTAGTGATTTTTACATGACTGACATTTAATTTATTTTACTTTTAAGTAATATTAACTAACATTATTATTATCCAGCCTAATCATAGATGGCGCCAACAACATCATTGCATAATAATTACAATACTTAATTAAATTATTAGTACGGTTAATTATAATAGAAATTATTATTAATATTTATGCTTTATTCATATTTAATTATTTATACACTCATTTGTGCTTTTAAACAATAATATAAACATTAAACATATTCTGAACATTTTCACATTAAAACAGTGTCTGCTAATTATTAAATATGGTAGAATAACAATTTTGTTGCTAATAATAAATACATATTAACATAGATTAAACTAAACTATATATTATTATTATGTTAATTATTGCCAATGGTGGCGTTTGCGCCCATATGTACGTGTACGTGTCGTGTGCATGTGCGTGTGCGTGTACGTGTGCGCGTGAGTGTAAACAAGTTGTTACTAATGTATCGTGTGCGTCCCCGGTGTGGCAGGGCCGCGCGAGTCTGTCGTTCGCGCAGCAAGTGGCGCGCTGCGGGCGGCCGCGCCGCGGGTGCGAGCGGGACAGCACGATACCGGAGCACGCGGCCGCCGAGGACGACGCCAAGCTGAGGTCGGTGCTCGTGACGTTACGCACGCTACCGCCCGGCGTGACGACGTTGAACCGTCAACCGATTTACGAAATATGGAAAATTAATCTTCATGCCCTCGTCACGCTGTGGGGGTCGGCACGTGGTCCCCTTAGTCCACTCAGTATGCTTAGTGCGAGTTTTTTAACGTTTTCGATCAAGTCAAATCCATATAGTATTTATATTCATTCTCCTTCCCTTCTCCCAGTCACCTGGAGCCGGCTTAACATGTTTTCCATACTCCTCTATCATACCCCTCTTACACATATCGTCTTTCACGCAATCCATCCATTTTATCTTAGGTCTACCTCTTCCCAGAAGGGGAAGACCGAAGCGGGGAGTGACTGATTTAAAATCACTCCCCAAAAATGTACTGGACACTTTACAGGAGTTACATAGCGCACGAGCGAGACGCCGAGCTCCGCGGCTACGTGTGCGAGCGGGACAGGCGGCGCGACGCTCGCCACGGGTGCGAGCGGGATAGCACGAGCCCGCTGTACGCGTCGCCGCCGCGGAGTCCCACCAGCGACATCTGCAGCCCCACACAGCCTACTATAGCTTTTGGTGAGCTCTCTGTCTCTTTCTCACACCTTCATTTTTAAGGTGGGTCACGATTCCGATCCATTGGTAGGTTCAGCGAAGTACTGTTTTTGCTAGGGCTAGCAAATTCTCTCAGGTTGAGCCTGTGAGCTCACCTACCCGCCTCATAGGCTACCAGTGAATAGAGAGGTAAAAAACAGTAAATCGTATTGATATAACCGTCTACTGAACCTTAAGTAGATGACACAGCCCTCGGTCAGACATTACGATATCTATGCCTTTTCAGCAGTCTCATGAGTAAAGTCACAAATAGCCCGCGTTTCAGTTAGTCTAGTCTCAGCTCTCACGTCAATTGGTTGCTTAAGGGGTGTCCCTTCCTCTTTGTAATACATATATAAATCAATAAACTTTAATTAAATATAATTTATTTTTTAAAACTTTTTTGAAGTGAAACTTCTTTATCGGCGTTGGAAAAAAATTTACCGTCACATTTTTCGGTTACGCGTCACATTTTTCCGTTACGCGCCATCTTTTTTGTATTCATGTCTATGATAATAAAATCCTTTTGTTTAAACTTTATCTAATTTAACTTTATTTAACCAATTTCTAGAAAGTTGCATGTAGATCATTTTTCGAAAAATAAGGCCATAAAGAAGTTTCACTTCTTACGTGTGTACACTAGTACACGCACAAATTTTTTTGAAGTGAAACTTCTTTATCGGCGTTGGAAAAAAATTTACCGTCACATTTTTCGGTTACGCGTCACATTTTTCCGTTACGCGCCATCTTTTTTGTATTCATGTCTATGATAATAAAATCCTTTTGTTTAAACTTTATCTAATTTAACTTTATTTAACCAATTTCTAGAAAGTTGCATGTAGATCATTTTTCGAAAAATAAGGCCATAAAGAAGTTTCACTTCTTACGTGTGTACACTAGTACACGCACACATTTTTTATAAGATACCTTATAACAGTACGCTTTGCAAATGTCTACCACTTTAGTTTGTATTCGAAATGGCCCGCGTGAATGGCGTTCCGTCTGGAATACCCAAAGCGTTGACTCCAGCAGTTTGTCGACTAACGTCCCGGGGGATCCCCGGTGGCGTGTGCGACTTGCTTCGAGTCTAACCTAACGAGATAAGAGCCATGTTTGCTTGGCAGGACCCCAGCCGCCGAGCTTGTCGACCGTCCAGCCCGGGCTCGCGGACCCTCACTTCAACAGAGACACGCACATGAGGATCATACTGGGCAGGGACAGCAAACCGGCTCACGATAAAAACGACAGGTGACATTTTTTTAAGGGACTTTATGACTTGGTAACTAAGGCCTTTAGGTCAAGTCTTATTTTAATTTTAATGATATGAAATGAAATGAAGCTGATTAATATGAAGCATGGCATGAAATGAAAACGAAATGAGATGATATGGAATGAAATATAATCTCAGTAAAATGGTGGTCATTTATTGAGACTTTTTCAGTGGACTTTTTGGAGGATCCCGAGAAGTTACGTTAATTACGGCTTTGTTTCATTTTCCCACATTTGTGCACTTTCACAGTTATACTAAACAGTTAATAAACCACCGCTATTACGCATTTATACCTGAAGAAATATTAAATAGACAAAATAAAACAAATCACACAACTTCACTCCTCGCATTCCCGCCAAAAAGTCATTAACAGGTGACATATATACGGCCGTCTGGTGTAGTGGTAAGTGACATGGTCACTACACAAGGGGGTCGCGGGTTCGAATCCCGCCAAGGGGAGATATTTGTATGATAAATATGAATGTCTTTTCCAGGGCTATGGATGTATATTAAATATATGTATGTGTATAATAAAAATCTTACATTTATATCCGTTATCTGGTACCTGTAACACAAGTTCTTTACGAACTTATCACGGGACCAGTTAACGTGGCGTGATTGTTAGTAAATATTTATTTATTTATTTATTATTTATATTTACATATATTATTGCAACTATTAACTACGACCCTCGTCGACTGGGGGTGTATTGGAAATTTCTCTGATACTACCCTGATTTTTATCAGTAAAACTTCGAGATGAGTGATACGCGAAGCGACTCCAGCTGGTCTGTGAATTTTTTTATTGCCCTTGTAGGCAGACGAGCATACAGCCCACTTGATGGTGAGTGGTTACCGTTGCCCATGGACTTCAGCAATGCTAGGAGCAGAGCCGAGTCGCTGCCTAACGTATTTGCTCGTAAGCAACTCTACCCTCAAATCAATGTAAATAAACATGTGCTATTATGTCTTCTGCGCGTTTCTATAGCTATAGAGACGATTGTGATGGATCGTACAATAGGTACAATTGTAGGTTCCGCTTCGGGGATTGTTCGCGCTATAGTACCGTCAACTCGCGATAGATGGCGCGTCAGTAGTTAAGTCAAGAAATCGATAGTTTTTGTACAAATAGCGACAGCGGGCGCGGAAAGAGTTTTTTAAACAGTCCACCCCAGTGTACAGAGGTTAGATGAAGAAGGGACCGTGAGTGGGCCCCACCCTTGAAACCGAACTACCTCACAGTGGATACAGGGGGGTGTTGGTACCTTTACTATCGCCCGCCACCGAAGTAGAGTTCATCCATACTACCTGGAGCCACTGCGGTCATCCACAGTGCGTTTCCAGAGATCATTTTTGCCACGTACCATCCGGCTTTGGTCGGTTCGGTGTTTCCCGAGCGCTATGACATGTCCTTCTTAAAACGAGGCTTGTGGAGAGTACTTAACGATAGGCAGCGGCTTGACTCTGCCCCTGGCATTCTGAAGTCCATGGGCGATGGTAACTGATGGTATACTGATGGTAACCATCAGGTTGGCCGTAAGCTTTTTTTAATTGAACTTTTCAATTAAGTTTACTCCATTCAAACAGCTGAAAGTTTTTTTTCGTTATGATTTTTTTTTTCCAAATTTTAAACTTCAAATGGCTCTCGGGTGAAGTTGCAAAAATGTCGCTTAAAGCAAATAGCCCTTCGCGATATGTATATAAGTATATATCGGTATTTGTATATAAGTATATATCGGTGCAGGAGTCGTACTCCACCACCGAGTCAGATACTAATAATTTGGTGTTTCGAGAACGATTTGGGATTGTTAGTTCTTTCATTAACATGTCAACTGCCATGTAGGTCACCGGTGCCCTACGCGGCGCACTGAAGTAATTATGTCGACTTCTCTCTTCGATCTTCTTACTGAGGCGTCGGAATATCTAGTAGACTCTGAGAAAGTCGAATCCGAATGATACTAAAAATGAATCTATTTCTAAAGGACCTAAAAGACATTAACAAACAAAAGACCATCCAGGCGCTTTAGTAACAGAAATCGACATAATCACTTGAGTGCGCCGCGTAGGACACCGGTGACCTACATGTCAGTTTAAGGGTTAACATTTGTCATTGACTGTGTAATGTGCGATCAATATTCGACCCTATATCTAAAGTGATAGAGTTGGTTTTCGTTTCGATTAACTCAAATAACATTTGATATAAATGATATAGTGCATTGTGGACGACGAAAGGAAGGCTAGCCTGCAACAAGTTATTCGGGAGTATCGAGAGAACGAGAGGCAGGATATTAAAGAAAACGTGAGTGAGAGAGACAGTTATAGATTCCAGCGTCTCGCTTCCAAATGTGACATTACACTTTAATTTGGCTTAAAGTTTTTTTAAGTAAAACTATAATTTGCGTGATTACTGGTGGTAGGAAGTCTTGTGAGTCCGTGCGGGTAGGTACCACCGCCCTGCCTATTCCTGCCATGAAGCAGTAATGCGTTTCAGTTAGTAGAAAGATTCCTGGGTATTTCGTTACGGAAATCAATTTTATTTTATTTATTGCTTAGATGGCTTGAAGAGCTCACAGCCCACCTGGTGTTAAGTGGTTACTGAAACCCATAGACATTTACAACGTAAATGCGCCACCCACCTTGAGACGTAAGTTCTAAGGTCTCAGTATAGTTACAACGGCGGTCCGATTTATTTGGTACATCAGCATCAACAGATCGATGTTTTTAATTGAACTTCAATTAAGTTTACTCCGTTCAAATATTCGAAGTTTTTTTTTATATATTTTTTCCAAATTTTGAACTCTATATGGCTCTCCTGTAATGTTGCAAAAATGTCGCTTTCAACCCCCTATATATATATCCATATATATTTTTAATGGGATCATATACCTAGCAGGTATGTGCTCATGGCCCATTTGCGGCTAACTCAACCTATAGACATCGCGACCTCAAGCCCGCACGGATTCGAAGTCTTACGGCGACCTCACGAATTATACAATTATAATAGATAAATGTCACATTTGAGTTGAGGCAGTTTGAGTCGCGGCCTGGGTTCGTTTTTGTCGGCTGAAGGATGCACGTTTGCGTTGTGATCAGAATGACACTGTCATTGTCATAAGACACGTCATTGCAATACGCTGGCGCTACTATCATATCATACACCTTTATAATTAAACATCCTCCATATTTTTAGCAAATCCCTACAGTACAGGGCGATAAATACCGACCTGTGGAAAGAGATAATCAGCTTTGTAGAGCTTTGTCTCTGTCGCACGAAACGCTAACAGTGCGACCATACCTTACTACACCTGAACAACGACTGACAAACGTCATATCGATCGTAAGCTGCCAGAACCTCCCAACTCACATTTTTTATTGAAATTGTTTTTTTGCTTTAATATAGCAAAAAAACAATTTATTTCTTCATCAAAAACAAATTCAATAAATAATAGCGTTATATAATAATATTAGAAATTGCTACTTTTATTTGTATTTTTAAAATAGTATATTATATAAAAAATGTAAATTGTTTTCTTTTTTTAAGAACTTACACTAATAAGAAATAACATCTTATTTGTGTTTTTTTTTGCCAATAATATTTTATGGAAATACCTTGTAACTTAAATCCCTAAAGGAATGTGATTTGAGTATTTTCGTCTTACCAAATAAATCTTGGAAAAACTTAGGTTTTTTTTTTTTTTTTAATGCTTTGATGTTTGGACGAGCTCACAGCCCACCTGGTGTTTAGGGGTTACCGGAGCCCATAGACATCTACAACGTAATCTTGCGGGTTTGATTTTTATTACACGATTAGCTGACCCGGCAGACTTCGTAGTGCCTCAATCGATAAATAAAATACCTAACTTTTGTATAAAATAAACTTAAAACAAACAAAAGGAATCCGTCCGACGGGGGACACATCAAAGGAAAAACAAAATTGTTATTTTATTTAATTCCGAGCATTGTCATATTTATCTATTCTATTCTATCTAAATAATTCAAGACCAAAATTAGCCAAATCGGTCCAGCCGTTCTCGAGTTTTAGCGAGACTAGCGAACAGCAATTCATTTTTATATATATAGATGTTATTCCTTCACCGTGGAAGTCAATCGTGAATATTTGTTAAGTACGTATTTCATTAGAAAAATTGGTACCCGCCTGCGGGTTTCGAACATCGATGCATCGCTACATACGAATGCACCGGGCGTCTTATCCTCTAGGCCACGACGACTTCACGGCCAAATACCATCCGTATTTTGTTAACATTTTAGTTTCTATGGTCTCCTGTAAACTTACAAAGCACTTAGGAGGTATTGGCAACCTACGGTCGAAATAGGTAGCGTGCGACAGAGACAGCGCTCTACGAAGTCGAAAGATTGTCTCTTTCTTAACGACGATGTGTGGAATTTATCGCCATGTACTGTACTTGCGCTGCTGGTGGGGCTGTGACCTCGAACCAATCAGTAGAACCAATTCCATCGCATTTGAAGCACTATGCTTATTCAGTATGTTACCAGAGTTCGAAGTCTTTCGTTAATATGTCAGAATTGATCCAAACTCAAACTGGAACTGTTTAGCTTCATATATAGGCAGATCATTGATTCGCCCCACCAATCATAAATAGGCAGATCAGTGGCATTTTGATTCGCCCCACTAACGGCTGCTTAACATAAGGACCTTTGCTGTGATGGTCGAGTGATTAGTTAACCTGACTGACCACTGTATACATATCGATCAGTTCGATTCCCCGTCGAAGTTTCTACATCGGTCTGATTTCGTTCCTCAAAATGGACTTGGATTTGTCTCCAATCGACTCTGATGACTGAAGCCTTTACAGAATGGAACATTACAAACAGATTAGTGCATATTTCCGGTCTGTGCTTATCACTCAAATTTCGCGCAGTTTGCAAGGACCATTACGAACATATTTGTATGGTATCCTTTGAGGTTCTAATTTAACTAGTTGCGTATTGATCTTAATTCGCCTCCTCATTACCCATTTTAATAACAAACAATAATAAAAAAGCTTTTTGTTCAAACGCATCTAAACTAAGCTTTGTCTAACGACTGGCTTTTCTTATAAGTTTGAGGTTTTAGAGAGAAAAAGAACCTTTTAATTTTAGTGTGGATATTTGGCATTTGGGTCTATCAAATCTGAAATCCTTTTGCTGATAACGCTATATCATGGTGACGGCACGTGTTCTTAAAGGAGGGTTTGTGTGAAAACTTAACAAAAGCACGCTTGAGTAATTAGAGGCTATTTACTAATGTTTTATTTATATCGTGACGATACTGGTCAGGTCAGGTCACCATTAACATGTGGCAACACTAGTCGGTGTAGTTGTATTTTTGTTGTTGTTGCTTAGTTGGATGGACGAGCTCACGGCCCACCTGGTGTTAAGTGGTTACCTGAGCCCATAGACAACGTAAACCATAAACGTCTACAACGTAAATGCCGCCACCCACCTTGAGATATGAGTTCAAATGTCTCAGTTACAACGGCTGCCCCACCCTTCAAATCGAAACGCATTACGGCTTCACGGCAGAAATAGGCAGTGCGGTTGTACCTAACGTATATTAAAAATATTCTGGTCTCACTCAGCATTTTCTAGTTGCTGGATATGATCTGTGTGGTTAGTGAGAGTTATTTAACTTCTCTATATCATAAATATTAACTCAAATTTGTATGGAGTTGGAACAGCGCCTCTAGCGGTAAACGAAAGGAAGCCGTTTCAACTCCATACAAATTTGAGTTAACTTTTACACTATCGAGAACGTTAAAAAACTGGCACTAAGCACACTGACGTGTTCATTTGTAAAGTTAACCAGAGACTGCAGTCTCTAAGTGACGCAAACACCTCGTAACCCTGGAAGGTTAGCTGTAGGCAGCGGCTTGTGAATGGCAATTGCTGAAGTTCATGGGCAACGGTAACCACTCACCATCAGGTGGGCCGTATGCTCGCCTGCCTACTCGGGCGATAAAAAAAGTCATAGAATTCAAAACAGATTTTTAAATTGACTTAAAAAAATTTTAAGAAAACCACGTCACCAGAAGATATTGTGACATTGTGAAGACAATCGAAATAAAGTCCTGGTCCTAGGAGGATGCTGATGGGAGAACACACCCAGTAATATCGATAAAGCGTCCGATTATTGTGTTAAGTTCTCATCCGGTCTTAAGTTACCGGAGCTAACGGTCAGGTCCGTTAACATGTCAGTTAAGTGGTTCCCGTAGATGTCAACAAGGTAGATACCGCCACCCATTTTGAGACATGAGTTCTAATGCTCAGTCTTATGGTACAAGGGCTGCCCCACCCTTTAGACTGAAACGTGTTCGCCGCAGACTTAAGCAGGATGGTGGTACCTACCAGTGCGCGCTAACAAGACTGCCCACTACCAGTAAGAGTGGGATTAAGCACTTTTTGCGATTTTTGAAATCATTTGGAACCTTAATTGCGTCTCTCAAAGCGACAAGGTCCTGGTTTCCAAAAGCACAAGCTTTGATGTTGTATTGAAACAAAAGCTACGTACAGTAGATTCGTTTGGTCCGATGCCACATTCGAATCTCCTAAAACCGACGAGGCTGCGAAGTGAGAAGCTGCTTTTTATCCATACGCACACATATACTTTGATGACGTCTTATTTACGCCATCGCTTTCATTTACTTTTTCGCTTCGGAAGATCGTTTAGGTGCTTTGGTTTGGTGCAGACTTTAAAAGCTGTCGTCTACGCGGCATCATCCACGTGTAGTAAACGGTGGTCTTTCGACAGGATTTTCGGGCCTTTGAAATAATGCTCTATTTCCACACGATAAGGTCCTAAGTCTGTCGCTTCATCAAACTCACGGCGGACTATCTTTAATTTTCTGTTCACAGCAAGAACAAAAGAAATGGAATCGTCACGAATCCAGCGATGAGATTGGTGGCGAACGTCAGGAATGGACTCGGTAAGCGCATGCGAATAATGATCTTAATGCACATCTAAATAAAGTAGCTTTTCTCTTATTTTCCTTTAATTTTCCGATGGGCCATTGAAATAGAGTAAAAGCCTTTTATTCGCGCTTCGTTTGTCCAAAATTTAACTGTTCGCGAATCGATTAATCGCGGAAGCCTTTCAGTCGAGTGTGGGTTTGCCGGAGGATTGATGTATGGAATGGTCACCCCACGAACGGGTCTTAAATGTGATGTGTTGGCGCAGATAACGCGGCGGCCAACATCCGGAGGACCGGCGTCGCCCTGGCGGCCAGCACTAGCTCCAACAATCCGGCAGTCAAGTCCAACGCGTTCCAGTGGAGGAAGGAGACGCCGTTGTAACCTGCCACAGGAACCTCACGCAGCTTTTATCGAGCTTACAGCTAGCCAACTCCTGAGCGGCGGTCTGCTTGGCTATGAGCATTGGTTATATCCACGAGCGACGGTGAGCCGTAGACCCGTCTATCTTCGTGAACGTACAAAGAAATATATTATTAAAAGTATGAATTCGGGAAGTACACGCAGTGAGCTCAGGACCCGTAGTCACCGAGCCGCATGGAGGTACTCACTGAACTTCAAATAGTTTCCCTCGAAGAGCCGCGGAGAGTACTCGAAGCTCCCTTAAAGCTTTCTATTAATTTTGCAAGTTATTTTCTTTAGCAATCAAATTATCGCTCCAAAAAAATTACTACCTACCTACTTTAATTTAAAAAAAAAGAATTGTGCGTCATTGTAACTGAATGTGAGTATTATGAAGTTTTTTTTTTTTTTTAAACAGAACACAATCTCCTTTCTATACGTTATAAATTGCATTTTTTATTCATCTACCCACAGTATTGTTTTTTTTTTTGTGATTGCGTAAGTAGATGTAAATTATATAAGATGCTGTGTGATTAGATGGCACTATAAGCTGTTTGTAGTAAGGCAGCGGTGCATCGCGACCCTGGAACGGGGTACGAATACCGTATTTAGGTTTCGTGTGTGTGTGAATGAGATATATAGTTAAATATATTTACATCTCGCTCTCTCTGGGCTGACACGCGAGTTTCCATAGAAATGCTATATGCTAATTATATACGCGTTTAGGTAACGCCGTGTTTATTTTATGGTAATGTACAAAAAATAACAGTGATAAATTTAATCTTCTGAATAAATATATGAATATATTTTTTCAATTTCGAAAATCGCCTAAAAATAAAAATATTTAAATATAAATAGTAAATGTAAGTACAATTAATTAGGGCAAGAATAAAAGTATTGCTTTTACAATGAACAAACAAACAATAAATTTAATTAAAAAAATATTAAAAAAAAACTCGTATGACCACGAAAACGAAAACTAGTCTTTAGTTATTTTACATACAGGACGATTGTATTGAAAAAAAAAAACGTAATAGAATAATTGTTTTTTTTTTATAAATAATAATGTTAATAAAAGCTATGTTATACAATTATAATCGTATTTATGAATTCACAACTGAGTTCTTTCAAATTTGCTCTGCTCCGTAATAATTTATGACGTCAGTTTCGTTACGATATGGGCGTGCGAGAGAGATGGCGATACATTCTCTCCCTCCAACCCGGCCTCCGCTCGAACCAAGTCATCGTTTTGTCGTAACTGATTTCTACGTTGTATTAAACCATTCAGCGTATACAGTAATGTAATGTAATTTTTAAGGTTTGAGGCTTGAGCTGAATTACCTTCAGACCTCGAACTTTCATAGCTTGGTCTTTACTCTGTATGTACAAGTCTAACGCTCTCATATGTAACGCAGCCAGGAATTTGTCAGGCCAAATGAATATGAGCGCTGATGCCGTTGAAATACGGACTGTAATGCGTTACGTCAACGAAGACTCGCGGTATCTCGCTCAGTTGCGGGGAAGACGGCGTGCACGCACGCTCTTTCGGAAAGTTGGGCTTGGATCAGATTTAGTTTGCAACTTCGCCTATAAGTGCAAGACCAGAATTAGCAAAAATTAAGTAGCTATATATTTCACTCTAGACCAGGGATTCTTATCTGACTTAAAAGTTTTTAAATTGGTTATTCATATAAATAGGAAAAAACACGATATTTTTTTGGGCTTAGGTAATCATTCCATTTTGGGAAATGGTTCTAGTGTCAAATACAGCCTGGGCATCCCTGCTCCAGTCGTTAAACGAGTGGATTAAAAAATGAAAAATGGCCGCCTCAATTTGACGTAAGTAGACTTTGACATTGACATTTGGGTCGAAGCTTTCAAACGTCAAACATAAAAAATTATACCTATATTATATTTAAATAACTCACAATTCGTAGTTGATCTCAGAACGAACAAAGTTTTTGTGTGGCTGTTGCGTGTGAATGTGTTTTTTGGTTTGCGTGTCTGCTGTGGCGTGTTACGACCGAATGTTCTGCGTTACGAAGCGAACATGTTACGGTCAAATTCGGGACTCTGTTAATTCCTGAAATTCAAGTGAAACACGTAAGCTTATTACAAAATAATTAGAATTAAATATTTTTATAATATTCTTTCACGGATAATAACTCACAATTAATGCGGACATATTTATGTGTGTGTGTATTTTTTTTTAAATATGAATTCGTCTAGAGCAATCTGTGTTTTATTGATATGTAGATTATATCGGTTGTTTATTGACTCGTAAATCATTCATATAGTTATCGGATCCAATGTACCGGAGACGCTGATCTTAGCCATATACTCATGATTGCGTCAATATAGCTTTTAGCCGACTTTAGTTACGGCCTGACCTGTGTGCTTAGTGCGAGTTTTTAACGTTCTCGAGTAAAAGTTAAAATTTGTATGCAGTTGGAACAGCGCCCCTAGCGGCTAACGTAGGCAAACATTCCAAATCCATACAAATTGGAGTTAACTTTTACGCTATCGAGAACGTTAAAAGCTCGCACTAAGCACACACAACCGGCCGCCCGGGCAGCAATGTAACGCGCTTAAAAAACAATATTCGCTTTAGCTGATCACAATCCACTACTAAAAGTGAAGCTTAATTCGTAAAATTGCTAAAACACAACCGACATTTTAAATTATATATATATGTAAATACATATGTATATTAATATAATGTAAAGATGCTGTAAACAACAGTAAATAAAAAAAGAAGAAACAAGATTGCTTTTGTTATTAAAGACTCAATATTTTAGGAATACTGGTACTATGTATAATTTATTTAGTCTAGTATTAAAAAATACACTTCTAAATCTGTTTTTAATACTAGACATTTTAAGCTAATTTTTTTTATATGAATTTGAGAAATGCATTAAAATGCTTGCTCGAAAAATCATAATCATTACACAAAAAAATAACATTGACATGTGTCTAATATGCAGTAATCCCCTCTATAACACGGTAGATTGGTTCTGCGTTATAGAGAACGCGTTGTAGGAGTTTACTCGCATAACGCGCTTTTATGACGCCATATAACGCGTTATGTACAAATAAGTATAATACGATATAACCGATGTCTTGATAATTTAAAAATTAGGAACACAAATTTAATAAATTGACCTAATTTTATAACAACACAATTGATATAATGCGCAAAAAAGGCGAAATTAATCATGAACTGTACCAATCATTATAAATTTCACAGTCTGTACAGATTTATGTATAACGCGTTATACCCGTGTTATACGAAGGACTGAAGTCGCGTAATATGAAAACGCGTTATAAGAGTAGCGTGTTATAAGGGAAATAACAGTATACTTTATAGCGCATTTGATATTCAATTTTATTTTCGTATATTTATAATATGATCTAAAAGAATCTTAATTCGAGGCATATGTATCATGATGTATTAATTGACTAGTCTTTATATTATTTGTAATTAGATTTAGTGAGTATATTATGTAATCGAATGAATGTTTTATATATGAGATTTATATTTATTTTCCAAATCGCCCATGTTCTTGACTGATCTATGTGAAATGTATTTTTAAAAAGATTAACCCTTTTAGTGCTGAGCTTATTTCCACATTTTTGCATAAATTGCTAAAGCATTTAAAAAAATCACCTTTAAATAAAATACAAAAATAAATGCTAAATTCACAACAGAATAATTTTAAATGGTCATTAATAAGTGTTCTTAACTTATTAAAAACGTTATGCGCGGGCTAAGGCCGCTCTATACAGGTCGATACTTAATACCTATAATCAAATTGCGCAATAGTTGGTATTCCGACGCTTCGAACTTTATACGCATTAATAGAGAGTCGATCTATCGACGGTGCACGCTCAAAGGGTTAATTGTCCTAGTTTTTTGTTATTTTTCTGTAATACAAGCGAAATGAATTTTTACTTCGTGGAATTAACACTTTTTATATCAATAACGCTGTAGAACTGTGATAAGATTGAAAAACAAAACTTGAAACCATTTGATTTTACATCATAAATGCCTATACCGATTTGAAGAAGGTATTGCTTTGCTTAAGTTTTCCCGATTTTTTAAATATATTTTTCCGTCATTCGTGCGTGTCTTTGACATAATTATAACCAATATTACAATTTAAAATCTTGTTTTTATTGTCACGACATTAATTATGACATAGTCTTGTAAGATCAGATACACTTCGAAGCATTTAAAACATCAAAAATCATATAATGACATTTCAAAGAAAAACACGCGACATTAATCTAATATTTACTGTTTATTTTAAAATGTCATTGAAGTTTCATCAACAAAGCCCACTTCGCCATCTCTGTCATTTTTTAAATGAAGAAAAGGGACAGATGATGATTCGATGCTTCGCTTACAAATACAGGCCTTCTATTATCAAACCCGATCCTAATTCGAACCTGCTCCAATAAAATGTTTCCGACTTTGACATGTGTCATCGTTGACAGACGTCAAAATTATTGGAACGGAATCGTTGCGGACAGCCATCTCTGAATCAATCGCAAATTAAATCGCACGTAGATGATATTATCTAGAATCTGTAGATTTGATTTAAAAATGTGAATTGAAAAAAAAACCACCTGTTTTGGTCAAGAGTAAATTATATTGAGGGATGAGAGTGTATTTGGTTGACGCGACATTTTTGCAACTTTACAGCAGAGTCATTTAAAGTTTGACATTTAGAACAAATATCATAACAAAAAACTTCTTCAGCTATTTGAATGGGGTAAACTTAATTTTTTTTATTACCCTTGTAGGCAGACGAGCATACGGTCCACCTGATGGTGAGTAGTTACCGTCGCCCATGGACTTCAGCAATGCCAGGGGCAGAGCCAAGCCGCTGCCTACCGTTAAGTACTCTCCACAATCCTCGTTTGAAGAAGGACATGAAGTTTAATTAAGTACATCAAATTATTGATACTAATACCAGATAAAGCGGGCCTTTAATTACTAAGATAATTGTCGCGTGTTAAGCGAAATATCGCTTGAACCAAACACACTTTCACCCCTCGATATTATGTTATAACGTCATTTCAAAATCAATGTAATTAAATAATAAATAAATTTATTCTCATAGTCTGATATTATAATGTATAGATGATTTAGTGTTGTTATAAAAAATTGAGCCTAACGAATTAAATTAATTAGACAGACGCATTTAAACAATTTCTGAATAGAACTGTTTAGTTTTACGTCGAAACTATATGTATAGTATGTGTATGTATTGAGACTATAGTTGTTTGGTAAAATAAATTTAAAAACAGTATTGAATTTTTATTCAACATCAAAATTAAATAATATATTCCTTTTCAGCATAGAAACATGTACATTATTGGCTATTTTATTTGGCACTTTTTTTT